CCAGCAAAGATGAACTTTTGAAGGTGTCTCCTCTGAGCGGACAAAGCAGGAACATATCCCAACTTGTGTCTCTGGCCAGGCACTCTTGGGCTCAGCATAGTGTGTGGGGCCCTGAATGAGACCTCCTTTGTAGCCCTTCCCCAGGAGGTCTGGGTGCTTTCCAGGACAGCTGTGCAATCCTACAGTTTCCATCCAGCATCTGTGGTACCCTTCCTTTCCTGCTCTGGTCCCCTGATTGCTGGCCTCTGTTTCTGAGGCCAGTGGAGGATCTCTTGCCCATGCTGGTGTCTGCTGTGGGAGAGCTGATGTCCCACCTCAGGAATACTCTTGGAATGGCCAGTTCTTAAGATGCAGGTGTTGGCTGTGTCCTCAGCATGTGGGCATGAAGACAGTGCTGCTGGAGGCCACAGCACACAGAACCAGCATCTGGGAGGACTGCCTGCAGGCCTCTGTCCACTAGACCATGAGTCCTTGGGACAGGGACAAGGAAGGGTCACTGTCCAAGGTTACTAACTTGTTTGGCTGTTCCTCAGCATGTGGCATGAAGAAGTGCTGCTGGAGGCCACAGCACACAGAACCAGCATCTGGGAGGACTGCCTGCAGGCCTCTGTCCACTAGACCATGAGTCCTTGGGACAGGGACAAGGAAGGGTCACTGTCCAAGGTTACTAACTTGTGACCTTCCCATTCCAGTTCCCCCCAAACCCATAGGCAAAACCCATTACTATTCCTCTTCCTTAGAGGCAAACAAAATCCACTCATCAGGGTGTGGTCACACTGTCCTCATGGGAGTGACTGGTGCTGAGAGACCCCCCAGTTTGCTCCTCTCTCAGAATGCGGCACCCGGAAGCTGAAATTTGTTAAGTGTTAAACCTGGTTGATTCCCTTAATTTTTTTTTTTTTTTTTTTTTTGGTGTTACTGGGGTTTGAACTCAGGGCCTCATGCTTGTTCGGCAGGTGCTCTACCACTTGAGCCACTCGGCTCGCCCTGTTTTGTGTTAGGTGAGATAGGTGTTTCTGTGAACTATTTGCTTTGGACTGGCTTCGGACCGCAATCCTTCTGACCTCTGCCTCCCAAGTAGCTAGGATTACAAGCATGAGCCACAGGCACCTGGCCAAATCCCTTAATGTAAAGCTGAGGTTTCTGGCACTCAGTGCACTGGGTTTGAAGCAAAAAGCTGGCAGCAACCAGGTCCTATCCTACAGCTCTTCTTCCGTGGGTGACCCTCACTGCCACTTTGCTTTTTTTTTTTCCAGGACTGGGGAACTCAGGACCTTCACCTTGAATCACTCCTCCAACCCTTTTTTTGTGATGCATATTTTCAAGATAGGGTCTTGAGAACTATTTGTCTGGGCTGGCTTCAAACTGTGATCCTTCTGATCTCCGCCTCCTGAGTAGCTAGGATTACAGATGTGAGCCACCAGCACCCTTGCCACTTTTCTTCTTTGAGTTTGGATCACCTCATGTGTAAAATGACCACAATTGTGAATAGTGGGGAACTCTCTAAGATACTCCAAAGTCTGCCAGGAACACAAAGCTGGCCAGGACAATCTTAGGGTAAAACCTCCTAAGTTTGTACTTCCTGTTAGGTTCATAACATATTTAACTCTGCACCTCGCCTTGTTCTTAACAACTCTGCCATATGACCGGGTGTGTTCTCAGCCTGTGGTCTATTCTTTAGGTTCTTTTCTGACAGATACAAAAAGGTTAATAACTCCCCATTCAGAATGTGTATTTACTGCATATATCAATGTGAAAATTCTGGATAAGTCTACTTCCAATGTTTTGAGAAGACCGTGAAAAGTAGGGTACTTCTGGAGAAAAGCAGAAGTATCGCTCAGAAAGGAGTTTCCACTGAGCTGAAGAGAGAGAAACCCAGGTTCCTGGAGAGTTCCCTGTCAGCAACAGTCACGTTCTGATTGGCTGATCTGTTGCTGGGATAAAGGCCAGCAGCATCTCTCCCAGATGTTGGTGTCCTCTGGTTCTGAGTACTGCCCCCAATTCCGTACCCCTTGACCTTCTTCCTGTCTCCAGAGGAATCCCTTCTCCTTCTGTGATTGGATAAACAAACAACAAACAAACCGTCAATCCCAGCATGCCCTGGAGACCCAGAGGTTTTGGTCTTTGGAGGGCTTGGCCTGCCAAACCTAGATTTTGTACAGTCCAGGAGGGCAAGGCAAAATTGAAAGAATCAGCCTTTGCATAGTCAAGAACACATTCATCTCCATGAAACAAACACGATTTCTGACAACTAAGAGCCACTGATGTGAGCACATATGACTTTAACACAAAATAAATGTATAAAATTGAGGGGCTTTGTAGAACAGTGCCAGACTGCCACCAGTTGCCACTGTGCCTAAAATTCCACCATTAACACTTATTCCTTTATAAACCATGAGTGGTAGCTCAGGCCTGTAATCCCTGTCTCAAAAACAAGGAAAGCAAAAGGGGATAGGGACATTGCTCCAGGATAGTGCACTTGCCTAGCTAGTACAAGGCTCTGAGTCAAACCCTAGTAATGCTCCCCCCAACAGATTTATTCTTTTATAATTTTTCTCCTCCTAAAGCCTCCTATTAGAACATAAAAAGTCCCAGAGGGGTAATATATTGGGTAACCCATCCCCAAATAGGTTCTGAAAGATGTGTAGAAAGCTTTCTTTATGTTAAATTCAGAGAGGCTAGCATTATTTTTTTCACCCTATGCCACGCAGAATAATGGTCCACACGTCCTAATCCATGGAACCTGTGAATGTGTTACCTTATATGGTAAAAGAGGCTGGGCAGGTGTGATTAAGGTTCAGAACTTGGAGAAGGAAAGGTTAGTCTGGATGTTCCAGGTGAGCCCAATCTCATCATAGGAGCCCTTAAAAAAGCAGAGAAAATTTCCGGACTGTCATCAGGGAAAGATGTGGTGATGGAAGCCAAGTCAGAGAGATGCTATATTCCTGGTTTTGAAGATGGAAAAAGAGGACCATGAGCCAGAGAATGCCAGTGAATGCTCCTATAAACTGGCAAAAAGAAAGAAATTCTCCCAAATAGTCTCCAGAAAGAAAGGCAACCCTGCCAGTGCCTTGGTCAGCACAGTGAGACCCAAGTCAACTTTCTCATCTATCAAACTGTAAGCTACGAGGCTTGTAGTATTTTTTTTCCAGCAGCACTAGGGATAGTGCAGCGACTTCCTTGGAGATTCCTGGTGTACTTTAGCTTACTAAGGTCCCCAGGGAGCTGTTCAGTTAATCCAGCATCTCAGAAACAATCCAACACCAACCCCTCTTCCCCTGTAGCATCCATTGGCATCTTAGAACATGATGTAGCATATACTGCATTACAGTATTAATGGTTTAGTACTAACTGTTAGTAACATCTTAGTGTGATTTGTTCCTATGTTTTCAGTATGATTGTTAGGTGAGAGAATGGGACACAGGACAGGTAAGCTTTGATGGGCCAGTTTCAAGATCTCAAGAGGTGAGACCTGAGTGAGGGGAACTTACTGGACAGTGGTGAATACAGAGGAGGTGGGAATTTTCTATAAATACACTTCACACTTCATGTAGTAACATAACTTGTGTTGTGCTCAATAGTTTGTGCCAACTCATGGTTTCCCTTCAAGTTCTCTGCCTTTTGTCAGAAATTTTCGCTGACTTCTTTCTCTTCCCCAGAGAGCTGGGCTTGGAAGCTCATCCTATGTGTTTCTGTGGCCCCCTGGGTGTATTTACCTCTGCCTATGGCAGTGATGTACTGAAATGGCCTGTTTGTTTCTCCCACCATTCTAAAGTTCTCAGCAGTAAGAGACTGTGTCTAGGTTACTGATCATGGGCTGGTGGAGGGGCTCAAGTGGTAGAGCGCCTGCCTAGCAAGCCTGAGGCCATGAATTCAAACCCCAGTACTGCAAAAAAAAAAAAAAAAAAAAAAAAGTCATTTACTAGTTTACTGATCACATCTTGTGTGTCCACCCATGTTCAGCACATTGAAGATGCTGAGCCTATCTCATCTTCTTCCCGCCAAAACTATGTAAGTTTACTCCTATCTTGCCTCCCAATTGGTGGGTGCAGTTGAAGCCTGTCATACCACCTAAGCCCCATCTAGCCACAGACTAGCCTTTCTTCTCTCTCTCTCTCATTCTCTGCCCCCACTTCCTTTTTTTTCTTTTTTCTTTTTTTTTATTTCCTAGTGAAACAAGCAAGGGGTTTAGCTGATTATGCTTTATGTTGTATCACAATGTATGGAACATCTGACTAGGCTATAGGAAAGACTGAGACCAAATGCTACGCTTCTAACATAGTATATAGAAGGTGGTCAAAGTGGAGAAGTTGGAGGTGAATTGGACATCCTAAGGGAAGCAAACACTGTACTAAGCCAGTACTCGTGATTGTGATAAAAAGAGCCACAGTTTTTACAGAACTAGAATCCACTTTTTTAAAATTGAAGGGTAGGGCAGGAAATAGCTGGGTCAGAGAAGCTTGAGGACCCTGGACGGAGGGTGAGACTTTGGGCCGACAGCAGGAAATGACAATAGCCTGACCAGCACTCCAGAAGAATAAGGCCAAGTGCATGTATTTAAAACATGTCCTTACTCTCAAAGCATCAAAGACCTTCTGGTGCTTAAAGTGTCCCTCTCTCTGTTCAGACACCCGTCCTGGAACCGAGAGGCAGAAAGCACCTGAATAGAATGCTTAGTGCTTAAGCCTATTGCACCTGGGCAGCCATTTACCCACGGGGAACTACAACTCCCAGTGTGCACCGCGACCAGTCGGAGTAACGGCGGGATAAACTACAAGCCCCAGAATGCCTTGAGAGAGGCGCATGTGGGGAGGAGCGGAGGGGCGTGGCCACGTCGGCCGCGCGGGACCGTTAAATTCGAAACTTGGCGGTTTAGAAAGGAGGGAGTCGGACGCATGCTTTTTGTCTCGGAGCACACCCTGATTTCTTCTTTTGGTTGCTGGAGGAAGCCCTGACGGTCGGCGGCCCTGAGGGAAGGTCCGCCGCAAGACGAGGGCAACAGCCGGGAATGCAGGATGGCGACGACAAAGAAGGAAGGGGTCGCTCTGAGGTAGGGACGGGAGAAGAGCTGCCGGAGGCTGGGTCTGCGGGGGCCCGGGACAGAGCTGTGGAGGGGACGCCGGGGCGAAGGGGGAAGTCCCGACTGCAGTCTCAAAGCAAGGGGGGCTTTGGGTCCGGGGTGCAGAAGGTCTGGACGCTGTAGCGTGGTTCGCGTCTTTGACTTTGGAAGTGACTTCTATAGGGAGCGTGCTGGTGTTAAAGCTTCCTCCAGGGGCTCAGGGAGAATTCAAAGCATTTGCAAAGTAATTGCTTCCAAATAAGTGCTCAAGTAATGATAGGTGTTTTGATGCCAGTAGTGAAGAGACCTAAAAAGCCTTTCTCTTCACGTTTACCGCTTTTCCCTGTATAAAAAGTGTACAGCACTTCTCGTTGGAATTAAATAGGCATTTTCATTATGAAATCCACAATATCCAGATAAATGCCATGTCATGGGCTTAAGTTTATTGACCGTCTACTATGCAGCCAATAAACTGGGGATAGCCAATAAACCAAAGACAAAAATCCCCACACTCCTGAAGCTTAAGTTCTGGAGAGAGATGAAGGTGCAAGATAGGCAATAAACATGACAAAGTAAAAATGAGGTGGAGGTCAGTAATATAAACCAAAGGGGGATAGGGAGCTTTGGTGATGGGGGTTGTGCGGTATTAGAAAGGCTTGGGGTGGGCTGGGGGGTATAGCTCAGTGGTAAGAGCATTTGCCTACCATGCACAAGGCCCTGGGTTCCATTTCCAGCACGCACACACACAGGTATGTAGGTATGAATGTATCTGGCTGGGTTTCGAGTTGGGGAAGGAAGCTGCCCTGGCACATTCAAGGTCATTGTCATTGGAGCACAATGAACCAGGAGAATAGGAGGAAATTAAGTTTAAAAAGGTGACTATGCAGCATTGTAAGTGCTTGGCTTTCTCTCTGATTGAAAATCACTGGAAGGTTCTGAGCAAAGCAAAGATCAGATCTGACGTGGGGTTAAATGGGCTCACTTGGCTGCAGTGTTGAATAGACCAGAGGCAGAAAGGATGGAGGCCAAGGACCAGTTAAGACCTTATTGAAATAATCCAGGCAAGAGAAAGGGCCCCCTTGAGTGAGGCTGACAACAGTGGATTTCTGGATAGATTTTAAAGTTGGCCCCAGCAGGATTTAGGGACAGGCTGACTAATCTGACGAGTGTGAGAGGGGCATCAAGTTTGTCGGTAAGATTTTTGGCTTGAGCAACAGGAAGAATGGAAGAATTGCGTTTATCTGAGGTGAGGGAAGACTGGGAGGAGCAAGTCTGGGAAGAGGCAGGAGGGGCACTTGTAGCTCAGTTTAGGACATTTACCTGGGGCATTGTATTGCGTTTATCTGAGGTGAGGGAAGACTGGGAGGAGCAAGTCTGGGAAGAGGCAGGAGGGGCACTTGTAGCTCAGTTTAGGACATTTACCTGGGGCATTGTCATCATTGACTTAAGAGCAAGAAAAGAAATTCCGATGAATTCAACAGTTTTCTGTGTTTCCTACTGCCACGTCCTTTATTAGACCATAGATACAAGAAGAAATGATATGATCCTTACTTTTACAGAGCTCACACAAAATAGTCTAAAAGATAGAATTACAATCCAAATGATTACTCACAGTTACTTTTTTTGTGTGTGTGTGGTGTTGGGGATCGAACCCAGGGCCTGTGCATGCTAGGTAGACACTGAGCCATATCCCCAGCCCAAAGTTGCTTTCTTTTTTTTTTTTTTTTTTTTTTTGGCAGTACAGGGGTTTGAACTCAGGGCTTGCCATTTGTGAGGCAGGTGTCTATCTGCTTAAGCCCCGCCTCCAGCCTCTTTGGCCCTGGTTATTTTGGAGATGGGGTCTCCCTTTTTACTCTCGCTGACCTAAGCGGCTACCCTCCTATTTTTTGTTTCCTGCCTGTCACTCCATTGAGATGGAGTCTGGCAAACTTCCCTGCTGAACTGGATCTGTGATTTCAGCCTCCTTATTTAGCTAGGGTTACTGGCGTGAGCCACGTCACCGGCTCATCATTGGCTTTCTTTAAAAGAGTTTCTACTTCATCTAGACTAAAGTCCATGTAACATACACTGTATTTTGAAAATTAGTGCCTATGTGTCTTTTTGTTTTAAATCCAGAGACAATGTGTCTTAGTCAGGAGTTAGGCTGACAGCTGGAGAGCTCTGAAGTAGAGTACAGCCCCCATAATTGTGGTTGTTGCTGAAAAGTTTTGGGGATTCCCCTACTAGAGGCTTAGTAGAATTTGGAGGCTAGTTTTGACCAGCACACTGTGTTTTTGTCTGCTTCTGTTCTGGTCTACCTGTGTACAGTATACAAACTTCAGTTTTATGTCATCAGTTAAAACATGGGGTGTTTGTCTAACGAACACTTGGCTTTTTTTAAATTTTTTTTTGGTAGTACTGGGGTTGAACTCAGGGTCATGAGCTTTTTTTGCTTTAGTTATTTTTCAGGTAGGGTCTTGTGTTTTGGCCTGGGAGCCAGCCTTGAACCTCAATTTCCTACCTCTATCCCTGCATAGCTGGGATTATAGATGTACATCACCACGACCAACTTGTTGGTTGGAAAGGGGTCTTGCTAACTTTTTGCCCAAGTTAGACTTGAACCCCAGTCCTGATGTCTGCTTCCCAAGTAGAGTAGCTGGGATTACAGGCATGTACCATCACACCCAGTGACTGTTAATTTTTTAGTAAAGTAGGTGATACATTCAGTGCCAGGCACAGAACTGCTGTTTCGTTTTTGGTTTTGATGTACTTTCCAAAATTTATAACACTTTTTCTAAAATTTCTTTTTTGCCTTATACTTTATTTTTCTAGCACTATCAACAAAACTATTGGGCAATACTGTAGCCATAAACCTGGAAACCAGGTGGCAGGCTCAGAAGCTTAGGAGTGCAATAATATTGTTTCATTTTCTTTTATTAATTAATTTATATTTTGGTAGGACTGGGATTTGAACTCAGCACTTCACTCCTGCAAAGCAGGTGCTCTACCGCTTGGGCCACACCTCCAGTCCTGCAACATTATTAATATGCAGCCCACCATATTCAGCTCCAAAGATCATGATTAATGTCCTATCTGAAAACATTTGTACAATCTAGTGCTATGTAAATTAATGTTGATATCAGATGTACTCTTGTTTCCATCTTCACAGTGAAGCCATGTCCCTGGCAGGGGATGAATGGGAGCTGAGTAAAGAAAATGTACAACCCTTACGGCACGGGAGGATCATGTCCACACTGCAGGGAGCCTTGGCCCAGCAGGAATCTGCCTGCAACACTGCTCTTCAGCAGCAGAAGCGGTGGGTGGATTTGTCCCCAACCCTGGTAGATAGCTAGGTATGGTCTAGCAGGGTAGCATCAAGAGTGTTCTTCAGAAATCAGTATGAGACTCTATTCACACCAGCTTTCTCCTTTTACAGCTGTCTCAAGAGTGCCTCAGGTACTGTTAAGGGCAAAGGCTGTAGGATTTCATTTGATTGTGGAGCAACCAAACTCTTACCTATAAAAATATAATTTATATCGGGCAATGATACCAGAGTAAAGCAAGTATCATATCAGTGTGTCCCAAAAGTATAATTATGTCATTCTGAACTCCTAAACAGACTTACCTGTTCATTAGTAAGCAGTTATGTCACCTCCTTGGATTCTGAGCACTGGGGAAGGAATGAACCTGTCTTTTTTCTTTTTCCTTTTCTTTTTTTTGTAGTACTAGGGTTCAAACTTGGGGCCTCCTGCATGCGACACAAGCACTCTACCTGTACCACTGGGCTAACCCCCATCCCAAACCTGCTATCTTTTATGTGTACTCAATTACTGACTTCTAGAAAGTATTTTGGGATAAGCTATACAGGGCATTGACTCACATTGATTTCCTGTGCGTGGGTGTTACCTTCTAGGTTAATTCTTTTTGATCTAACCTTTTCTCTAGCCTGTTCCCCTTTTCCTATTGGCCTCAGTTGCTTTAAGGTATCTGCTTTAGTTTCTCTGCGTTAAGGGCAACAAATGCTAGCTAGTTTTTTAGGTGTCTTACCTATCCTCACCCCTCCCTTGTGTGCTCTCGCTTTTATCATGTGCTCATAGTCCAATCCCCTTGTTGTGTTTGCCCTTGATCTAATGTCCACATATGAGGGAGAACATACGATTTTTGGTTTTTGAGCCAGGCTAACCTCACTCAGAATGATGTTCTCCAATTCCATCCATTTACCAGCGAATGATAACATTTCGTTCTTCTTCATGGCTGCATAAAATTCCATTGTGTATAGATACCACATTTTCTTAATCCATTCGTCAGTGTGGGGCATCTTGGCTGTTTCCATAACTTGGCTATTGTGAATAGTGCCGCAATAAACATGGATGTGCAGGTGCCTCTGGAGTAACAGTCTTTTGGGTATATCCCCAAGAGTGGTATGTGGATCAAATGGTAGATCGATGTCCAGCTTTTTAAGTAGCCTCCAAATTTTTTTCCAGAGTGGTTGTACTAGTCTACATTCCCACCAACAGTGTAAGAGGGTTCCTTTTTCCCCGCATCCTCGCCAACACCTGTTGTTGGTGGTGTTGCTGATGATGGCTATTCTAACAGGGGTGAGGTGGAATCTTAGTGTGGTTTTTAATTTGCATTTCCTTTATTGCTAGAGATGGTGAGCATTTTTTCATGTGTTTCTGGCCATTTGAATTTCTTCTTTTGAGAAAGTTCTGTTTAGTTCACATGCCCATTTCTTTATTGGTTCATTAGTTTTGGGAGAATTTAGTTTTTTAAGTTCCCTATATTCTGGTTATCAGTCCTTTGTCTGATGTATATTGGCAAATATTTTCTCCCACTCTGTGGGTGTTCTCTTCAGTTTAGAGACCATTTCTTTTGATGAACAGAAGCTTTTTAGTTTTATGAGGTCCCATTTATCTATGCTATCTCTTAGTTGCTGTGCTGCTGGGGTTTCATTGAGAAAGTTCTTACCTATACCTACTAACTCCAGAGTATTTCCTACTCTTTCTTGTATCAACTTAAGAGTTTGGGGTCTGATATTAAAGATCCTTGATCCATTTTGAGTTAATCTTGGTATAGGGTGATATACATGGATCTAGTTCAGTTTTTTGCAGACTGCTAACCAGTTTTCCCAGCAGTTTTTGTTGAAGAGGCTGCTATTTCTCCATCGTATATTTTTAGCTCCTTTGTCAAAGATAAGTTGCTATAGTTGTGTGGCTTCATATCTGGATCCTCTATTCTGTTCCACTGGTCTTCATGTCTGTTTTTGTGCCAGTACCATGCTGTTTTTATTGTTATTGCTTTGTAATATAGTTTGAAGTCAGGTATTGTGATACCTCCTGCATTGTTCTTTTGACTGAGTATTGCCTTGGCTATTCGTGGCCTCTTGTGTTTCCATATAAATTTAACAGTAGATTTTTCAATCTCTTTAATGAATGTCATTGGAATTTTGATGGGAATTGCATTAAACATGTAGATTACTTTTGGGGAGTATCGACATTTTTACTATGTTGATTCTACCAATCCATGAGCATGGGAGATCTCTCCATTTCTATACTCTATCTTCCTCAATCTCTTTCTTCAGAAGTGTATAGTTTTCCTTGTAGAGGTCTTTCACATCTTTTGTTAGGTTTACACCTAGGTATTTGATTTTTTTGAGGCTATTGTAAATGGAATTGTTTTTCATACATTCTTTTTCGTTTGCTCATTGTTAGTGTATAGAAATGCTAATGATTTTTCTATGTTGATTTTATATCCTGCTACCTTGCTATAGCTATTGATGTGTCTAGAAGCTTCTGAGTAGAGTTTTTTTGGGTCTTTAAGGTATAGGATCATGTCATCTGCAAATAGGGATATTTTGACAGTTTCTGTACCTATTTATATTCCTTTTATTCTTTCTTGCCTAATTGCTCTGGCTAGGAATTCCAGTGCTATGTTGAATAGGAGTGGAGATAGTGGGCATCTTTGTCTAGTTCCTGATTTTAGAGGGAATGGTTTCAGTTTTTCTGCGTTAAGTATAATGCTGGCTGTAGGTTTGTCATATATAGCTTTTATATTGTTGAGGTACTTTCCTTCTATTCCTAGTTTTCTTAGAGCTTTTATCATGAAATGGTGTTGGATCTTATCAAAGGCTTTTTCTGCATCTATTGAGATGATCAAGTGGTTTTTGTCTTTGCTTCTGTTAATGTGGTTTATTACGTTTATTGATTTTCGTATGTTGAACGAAAATCCCCTAACCTTCAATCTCTGATCAAAAAGATTCTGTCAACATAGTCAAATTAGAATTTTGGGTTTAAATGTAATGTGTTTCCTTATTTGTTTCATTGGATCTTTACAAGCCTTATTTTGTTGATTGCTTCAGAGACAGTTGGTATTTTTTTCCTTAGTGTTCCTTCCTGGTCTCTCGTGACATTACTCTAGCTTTTCTACTTCTCTTAACTGTTCTCCCTTATTTTCTCTGGTTGACTTCTACTATGTTTCACCGAGTCTCTGTTTGTTTAGCCTTCGTTCTTATTGCTATTCAAATTTTTCAGGATTGTTTAAAACTACATTGGCACCTCTTTTTTTTTGTTCTTCGTGTCTTTTTTCTTTACCCAGAGACTTATGCAGACCATTCCAAAACCTGAGATGGGTTTCAGCCGTAGGGTTTTTGACTCTGCTTGGTGTGAAAATGATATACATTTAGCAGGAAAACCAGACTGTGCAAACTGGATCTTTGCACGGGCCAGATGTCACAGGACTGTGTTGCCATGAATTGGGAAGCAGCAGTGAACTGTAGCCAGGTCAAGCCACATGTTCACGGGTAAAACCACATCGTGCTCTGCAGTCTGTGCTGGGTGGCTAAGCCTTGATTCTGGTAGGGTTAGTTGCCATTAAATGCGCTTTTAACTAGGGCTATTTCACCTCATGCTAGTTACCTGGTCTAGCCCTGAGGAAGATATTCACCTAGTGCTTATTAAATTAATGGAATTCTCTTCTTAAAATGACCTCTTTCTGCCTCTCTGTTTTGGTTATGGCCACCAAAAACTCCTGAGTGAGCATACCTTACTGCTTCTCATTCTAATTTTATTAGATGGTGCAAAGGACTAGTGTTTTTTTTTTTTTGTTTTTTTTTTATGAAACTGGGGTTTGAACTCAGGGCTTGTGCTTACCAAAGCAGGGCACTCTAACTGCGTTGAAGCCATGCTCCAGCGCAATTTTGCTCTGGTTATTTTGGAAATGGGGTCTCACAAATTATTTGTGTCGTGTGTGCGCGTGGCCTTCCAATGGTGATCCTCTAATCTCAGCCTCCCAAGTAGTTAAGGTTACAGTTGTAGAGCGCCACTGTGCCTAGCCTGTGGGTTTTTTTTTATTTTATTTTTTGTTGCTGGTGATTGAATCCAGAGCCCCTTTGACATGCTAAGCATGGCACTTTCCACTGAGCTTATCCCCCAGCCCTAGAGATTTGCTCATAAGTATAATTTAAATGCCCAGTACAGAGCTCAGATTTTTGTGTACTGTTTTAATCAAATTTTGATGTGTTTTTAAAGACAAAACCTAGTTCTTCAAAAAAGTTCTCAAATCCCCCAGCCCTGTCATGCTCCCCTCTCTCACCAAAGCAGCTCCAATTTTCTTTCCACCACAGGATGCTTTTTGCCTCGTTTAAGTAACCTTTTGTTTCATTCTGCTATTTATTGGTTGTTGTTTGTCATGTGCCCACCCTTTTGCTTAGGTTGCTTTCATGATCTTCTACCTGTGACCTCTTCTCCCAGCATAGCTGGGATCACAGGCATATCTGCCATGCCCAGCTCTGTTTTTTTTTTGTTTTTTCTTTTGAGACAAGGGATCCTTGCTGCTGAACCCAGGTCATGACCATTGAAACTCCTTAGGCGCTGAGATTACAGGCATGTCCATCGTTGCCGGCTTGCCTGTTTGCTAGTAAGTTATATTAAGTAAAACCTTACAGAGTCCCTTTCATTCAGCCGTATCTTTGAGGGCTTTATCATGTACGTGTGCAGTAGATTGCCCCTGTTTCTGAGTAGCACTCTGTTTACACATTCACTATTGTCGTGAACGTTTCAGTTCTCTCAGTTTTTTTTGCTTTGTGAATAAAGCTGCCATGGACATTTCTTGGAACAAGGTTTTTTTGTGACATGTGGAGATTTTCTTTTTTTCTTCTGTACTGGGGCTTGAAAACTCAGGGGCCCCTTGAAGCCCACTCCACCAAGCCCCTTTTGTGATGGGTTTTTTCAAGATAGGTCTCAAGAGCTATTTGCCCCAGGCTGCTTTGAACTCTGATCCTCCTGATCTCTTGCCCCTGAAGTAGCTAGAATTATAGGTACGAAGGCTACTGGCGCCCTTGGCTTAATACTTTTTTTTTTTTTCTTGTTTTGAGTTTGAACTCAGGACCTCACAACTTGCTGGGCAGGCAGCTACCCCCTAGCCACTCCGCCAGTCCTCTTTCTTTTTCCTTTGAGTAGATTGTGGAATCATAGAACAGATGTATGTCTTAACATTTGAAGAAACTCAGCTGCCAAAGGGTTGTTCATATTTTGAGACTCCTGTCGAGGGTGTAAGAGTCCACTTCAGTTTAATGGCATGCTCCCTCTTTTTCCATTTAGCCCATCCTGTTGTACGGAGTTGGAGCTCACTGGGGCTGTACGTTTGCATTCCGTTGGTGACCAAATGAAAGAAGTGACACGCTTGTTGGCTTTCTGTAATCTTTTGTGGTGTATGTGTTTCAGATGTTTTGTCAGTTTTTAAATTAGCTGCACGAGCTTCTTTATCAACTCTATGCAAGTCCTTGATCCAAATGCGTTGCAATACTTTTTTTTCTCAGAACGTGGCTGTCTGGTTTTCTTGGTATTTTTTTTAAACCACCAAGTTTTTTAATTTTGATGTTCAGTTAAATTAGTGTTTTTCTTCTAGGCGTTAGAATGCTTTAAAAATTATCTTTAAATTATTTATTTAAAATTTTGGGTGGTACTGGGCGTTTGAACTCAAGGTCCTGGCACTTTTGCTAAGCAGGTGCTCTTGCACTGAGCCACACCCTCTTCATGGTTTAGTTGCTTTATTGTGTCCTGCTCCAAAATCACAAATATTAGCTTCATTTCTTTGTCTTGGCAAAGCTCTTTACCACGTAAGTATGTCCCCAGCCCTAATTTTGTGCTTAAGCTTTATATTAGGTATATGACTCATGTCGTTAAAATTTATCCTTGTGCACAATGTGAGGTTTAAAGGGTCCACCACTACCAATATGGCTCTATTCTAGAAATAATATAAATATATATAAAATATATGTGTTTTTTTTTTTTTTTTTTTTGTTCTTTAGCTGACAACAAAAGAGATGGTTATTTGTTACATGCATCCACATTCGGCACAACTGAGAACAGAACTTGATCCCAGAATCCACAGGTCCAGGGCAAGACCAACAGGACAATTTTTGTCCATGAGCCAAGGTGGGGTAGTAGGCTCTGCAGAAAGCTTGGTCTTTGGTGATGATGCTCCAGATCCACTGAGACATGTTCTAGACAAGAAGCAATGCAAGCCCAACAACTTGTACCCACGGCGCCCCCTCCGGCCTCCGGCATTCCTTATTCCTGCTCTTCTGGCCTCCCGGGTGCACAGGCTGTTTACTTTGACCTCTGCCTCATCTTTCTTCTTTTGCGCTCGGTCTGCGCACCGCTTCTTTCTCCACTTGGGCTCTCATTGCGCATAGGTGTCTAGAAGATGGCCTAGGGCGAGAGCTTCTGCCTGCATTTGTTTAGAGATTTTTTTTTCTTTCCTTGTTGAATTGCTTTGGGTTTTCTTATCCAATATCATTTCCCAGACGATTGAAGGGATGTAGTCTAAGTCGGTAAAGTGCTGCCTTGAATATAACAGGCCCTGGGTTCAATCCCAGTACCCTCCCCTCAAAACAATCACTTGACTGCATGCCTAAGTGTGGTTATTTCCAGACTGTTTATGTCCCAGTGCCGTGGTCATCCAGCCTTTCACCAACTGTTCACGTTGTCTTGCTAAGCTTCTTACCTAGTAAAGTCAGGTAGAGTGAGTTCAAGTTCCGTTCCTTTCCAAAGAGTGTGTGACTCTATTTTTTTGGTCCTTTGCCTTCCTAAACAAATGGTTAAAAATCATCCTGTCAATTTCTAGAAAAGAGCCTTGCTGGGGTCTGGCTGGATTTACATTGACAATCTATAGATCCGCCTTGGGAGGAGTGCTGATTTTTATCAAGTAATGTCTTAAGATTTTCATTTTTTCATCATTCCTGCCAGATAATCTACATTATCTCATACGTAAATTACCGTATTAAACCTTCATATTGTGCCTTCCTATAATTGTTGCTGGATTAATCTTTTAGAGGTCTTTTTCATATTTAAGATAAAGAAACTAAACAGTGGGCTGAGCAGGTGGATCCATCTTTAAAATTTTATGGTCTTTAAAACCCGGGGACACCTTATACCTGCTCCAGATGTTTTCCATTTATTACTCAATACTAACCTAATTCAGTTTGAAGGAGCTCCCACCTTCACAGCTCATGCTTAACTCAACTTTAATTCTTTCTCTCCTTGGCACCACCCCCAAGCCCTCTTGTTTATTGCTCTGTTGGGAATTGAAACCCCAGGCCTTGCACGTTGCTAGCCAGTGCTAGTAGAAAATTCCCATTTTTTCTTTTGTGGATTTTATGTTGCCTCAGAGTAGTTACACCTTTGAGGCTGCTTCTATAATACTTTTTTTTTTTTTTGTGGACTGGAGTTTGACTCAGGCCCCCTTGAGCCACTCCACCAGCCCTTTTTTCAAAGTTTTTCACATCTAGGGGTCTTGTGAACTATTTGTCTGGGCTAGCCTTTGAACCTTGATCCTCCTGACTCTCTGCTCCTGAGTTAACTAGGCGTTGAGCCACTAGCACCTGGCTGATCTTTACTAAATTATTTTTTAAAATCATACTGTCTGTGTATGTAAACCCAGACTTGGCCTTTGAACGTCTTACATAGTTAGACCAGCCTTCAAAACTCAGACCCTCCTGCGTAGCCATCCCAAGTTTGGGTATTACAGATCTGAACTACCGCAGCTGGCTTCTTTTTGACTTCTTAAAAGCCTTTACTGTCTATTCTTGGCAGATAACTATAGTACAATTGCTGCTTTGTATTATTGCGCTTATTTTTCATTTGTGTGCTTTGTCTTACCTAACAGATAAATTCTTTCATGTCAGTGAACTGTTTATTTTTATAGAAAACATAAGTTCTTAAATTAGTTTTTGTTAATTCATTTATACCAAAATTGTGGCTTATTACACAATACTTCTTCTAACTGGTAGTTCTCATTTAGTCTTATGCTGTCTGCCGTTTCTCAGCTCTTTATGCGTCATATTACCACTTTCTTTGACTACTATGGTATTGCCTTCTCTGACTAATATTCTCCCTAGAATTTTTCTTATTCCTTTTTTTTTAACTCTTTTTTGGTGTTTGAGATAGGAGGTCTTATTATGTAGCCCAGGTTGAACTGCGAACTCAAGATTTTCTTGCCTAAGTCTCCTATATGTTCGGATTACCAAGCATGCACCATAGCTTAGCGGCTTAATTTTCTCGTTCAATTTATATTTTCTCTATGTAATGTGTGTGGGGGGGGTTGTTCAGTACTTTGTTACATAAAAAATAAAGGTATCATTATTGAGTACTTGGTATGACTGAAGCACTTTACATTCTAAGACTAGTAAAAACTAATAAAAATGAGTAATATTATAGATGAGGGAAACCGAAAGCAGTTTACGAAGCTGGTCGCTGTTCACTGTTGCAGTGAATGTATAATAGAACTGCGTTGTTGAATCTATGTCATTTTCTGATACTTTAATTGCGCACAATACTGCTTTTCCAATCTGTTTTTTGAATGAAATTTGTGTTCTGATTTTTCTTGTTTGTTATCAGTCCGAGTCTTAATTATTTTCTGTTCTGCTTTCAAAACCTTCAGTGCAGTTATTGAGGCAGTACTAAATACCTACTGTATGACCAAAAATGCGCACTTGAGGGCTTATTTTACTGTTGTTTCTAGGTGTTGCACATGTGACATGTTCTGTTTAAATTTCAGGGCATTCGAATATGAAATCGATTTAGCTGGAAGTGACCCTCTGGCATGTTTTGGATAGGGAGTGGCTTGTTTTAACAAGGACCAAGAGAACATTAGCAAATGTTCCTCGGCTATGTTTCCCAAGGCGGAGTATAAGAGTGGGAGTCGTCCAGAAATAAGTCAACACATCTGCTGGTTGGGGTTGTTGGGGTTTTGTCTGTCTGCAAGGTGCTGGGAACAGGACCCTTGCCATGTGTTCAGGCGAGTGCTGTGTCATTGAGTGTAGCCCCGTTCCCCTGAGGTGCGTGAGAGTGAAGGAATTCTAGAGTTTATGCATGTATCCTGAAGGCTGGACCCTTCCTGTCTCTGTTCCAGTGTCCTCCAAGGCATGTGTTAGAGACACTCAGAACAGCTAGAAGCAGTCAGGCTTAGGAATATGTCACAAGGCCTGTATGGAAACATTTACTTTCAAATAAGAGATATTTTCTGCTTAAAAGAAAGTCCAGAATAGCTTGGAGTCAGAACAGAAGTACACTTTAGCCTCAAAATATGTTCTTTCCTTTCTTTGCATTTCAGGTATATTAGCTGGACAGAGCAAAAACTATCCTTCAATGGGGAAGGAGAGAAACCCATGTCAAGTTATTAGAAAGAAGCCGTTAGAAGCACTTACAAGAGAAAACTTTACTACAGCATCCTCGATTTTCAGTCTCTGGCTTAAATTGGTAAGTCCTTCTCAAATTGGCTGGCCGAGTTTAATCGATTATTTGGTGAGAACTTGGGGTTTGAAACTCAGGGTCTTTTTGTGCTTTTGCGAAAGCAGATGTGCTCTAATTGCCTTGGAACCACACCTCTAGTCCATTTTTGCTTCTGATTTATTTTAGAGATGGGTTCCTTAATTAACTATTTGCCTGGCTAAGCTTGAACATAAAAACCACAATATATCCCTCTCTCAGCCTCCCAAGTAAACTGGGAGTCTTACTTAGTTACTTAATTTTTTAGGGTACCACGTGCCTGGCTAGGAGTTTAGAATATTAAACCAAGAAAATTTCTTTGCCAATTATCAATTAAAAAAAAAGGTAAAACCTGAACCATTTGGTAATGGTAAATATTAGTATTTGCTTGAGTTGTTTCTACTTAAAGATGGGCCTAAATACTGTGCGAGGTTTTATTACCCCTTTAAGACTGGTCATAAATCGTAGATTTCTCAGTTGGGTATGGTTATTTATTGATCTAAGCATAGTGGCCATGAAGCCGCACTAGAGCAGGGAGAACGTAGGAGCCACACTTGGCAGTAGGACAGTTATTGGGGAAAGGGCTTTCTTGGTGATCCTCCGGTCCCTTTCTTCAACTTTATGAAAGTCATCACCCATAAAAAAGTGATGTTATAGTTTTTGTTGGTCTTGGATTCTTCACTAGGTATTGCTACAGCCAGAAAGGTCTGCAAAGCAGCCACTCTACCACTGAGCCATTGCCACCAATCCTGACACGTTAGGGTTTTTTGTGGTTGTTTTTCATCTCCAGGACACTCTTAAGTATTTTTAATGAAAAAATACATTTTTCATTAAGTTCATGACTTAGGTTTTTTTAATTTTACTGCTTTTATTTCTAAAGAAATTTGGGGCAAAGGGAAGCAATAAAATATTTAGAATAGAAGTTATTCACAATCCACTCTAATATAATTTTTTTAATTTCTGGTAGCTGCTAGAGATAAATCCAGGTCTCATACGTGTGAGGCACAGCACTCTGCCATTAGCTATATCTTCAGCCCTCAAAATACTGGGCTATTGAATGGGATAAAATTTCTTTGATAAATTCATATTTGTTGAGGAAGGCCTTATTAAACTCAAAACAATTACAAGCGCATAGGAAATTAGGTAAATCCTGAAGGTGCATACAATGGCATCTTTTATTTCTAGCAGGACATTGGCAAAACAGCTTGACATCTTAGCGACAGGTTAGAGAAGTTATCTTAGGGATTATTATTTCAGGAACAATTTCTGTTATCTTCTTCATCTATCTTATTATTTTTTTTAATTAATTAATTAATTTGTTTGCCAGTACTGGGGGTTTGACTTAAGGACCTCACACTTGCTAGTCAAACACTCTACCACTTGAGCCACTCCACCAGCCCCTATTCCTATCTAATATTCTTATATGTCATTTTTTTCAAATATTAGACCAGATGAACTGCTAAAATGACTTTTCATTGAGGAGTCTGCTTGATTATATTTAATGGGGAGCTATTTAAAATGATTAGAATAGTTTCTCTATTTATGTTTAACCTGGTGCCCTCAGTAATAAAGACAATGACATAATCATGAAAATAAGGAGCATGGTGGTTAGCTCAGTGCTTGCCTAACATTTGAAGGCCCGGGTTGATCCCCAGTACTGCCAAAAAAACAAAACACAAACAAAAGCCCAAAACATAGTCTAGACAGAACTTCTGAAGGAATGATTTTGTTGCTGATCAAGATAAAAAAAAAAAGTACAAAAATTAAAGAGCATTTGGAACTTTTGGCAACAATTTGAGCCTGGCATTGGTGGCACATGCTTCAATGTTAGTACTGAAGGAAGATTGTTGAGTTCCAGGCCAGTTTGGAAGCATAGTGAAGCCCTGTCGTATAAATCAGAACCAGAACCCCTTAAAATTCAAAAAGCATATGATAGGACAGATAATGTGTCATCACTGTTTAGTAGCTTCTGTGCTTATTGCACTTTTACACAAATATCAGTCCACAATGAAATGGAAACCTTTAACTAGCACGGCATGTACACGTACACTGAAAACTGCCCTTCATCACATACTCTGAAGAAGTGTTGCTCTAGACACTTGTCACATTCACATGACCAGCCCTAGATAATAATGTGACTTGTGTAACATGGGAAGGCCAACTCTTGGTGCATTCTTGTTCTTTGTGGGGTGGGTGCAAGAGTGTAAACTGATGGAATCCCTTGTGCTACTAACCTTTCTTTTGTTTTGACTTAATTCTCCCAGTCAGTTTTTTCAGAAGTGGTTTTCCAACTATGTACTACGTCCACATAATATAATTAAGAAAAAAAATGTTCCTAGAAAAGTCAATTATTTTAGTTAAAGGTGGAAAATTATTTTAGGGCTGCTATTTAGAGGTTGACCAAAAAACGTTTATTTAACTTTTGAATCTGTTCATCTAACAAGACTATTCTTTAATTTATTGTTATTCTTATTCAAACAATCAGAATAATCTTTCCTGACTAATCCCACTTGTACAACAGCACCAGGCCCATTCAGAACACTACAGGGCTGTGACATGTCAAACTTTGTATAGTGATAGATATCAAAGATTGGATCTTAAACTGATTAACACAATCAGGATTAAAACTTTTCCCTTTAAAACAACGTCACATATGAGAAAACATCACTAAAACTTGGATTAAGTGAGAAAATCCCAATTACTAAATTACTGCGAAAACTAAACTGTGGAACTCTAATCATTTTTGTCAAAAGTGTAAATGGGTGCAGGGGTTCAACCTTTGAATATTTGTGTGCTAAGATCCTGGCTACATGGCTATTAAGGAGACAGTGATGTTTTTCTGCTTCTCTGTAGCTCATTCATGGAGAAGATTTAGACTTGGAGTCATTCATTCCAAGTGTTAACAAAAAAGGGAGAAAGTACTAGAGGTTCATGGACCTCATACAAGGAGGACTTAACCTAGCCTAGCAAGATCAGGAAGCAAAGGCTCTCCGAATTGAAAGACTTCTCTTTTGTTTCTAAAGGAATAGCGAGAAAAGGCAGGGCACAGTGGCTTTATGCCTACAATCCCAGCTACTCAGGCGGCAGCAATCAGGAGGAATTGAACAGTTGCAGGCATTAAGCTGGAGGGACAAAAAAATTTAGTAAGACTCCCTCTGAACCCAACAACATAAACTGGCGTCTGGGAGGCACCATGTTCTGTCATCCCCAAGCTATGAGGGAGTGCCTTCCTGAAGACCGCTATTTCAGGAAAAATAACTAAACAAAAGGCTAGGAGAGCCATGAGTTCAAATGGTAAGATCCTGCCTAGCCAAGTGCCAAGGCTCTGAGTTCAACTCTTAATATCACCAAAAAGGAACAGGAGAAATGGTAGTTCTCTAGTGGTAAACAGTTTTAATTAGGATGCTGAAAATGCCATTTTTTATAAACAAAATTAAAAACTCAATTTTTAATGTTGATAATTATCTGGTGGAATGGCATTTTTCTGACTTACTAAATTAGCCTTTTAATTTGTACCAATCCTTTTAGAAGGTTCTTTTTTAGCATAGTTCTACTTCTAGAGGAAATTTACCTTAAGGGAGTAAAGTAAAATGTGAAAGTTCATATGTCATGAGAATAATCTTAGAATTTGTGTGTGTGTGGTGTGTGTGTTGTGTGTGTGTGGTTGGTGCGGTTGCGGTGCTGGGTTTGAGCTCATGGGCCTCATTGCTTGCTAGGCAGCTGCTCTACCACTTGATAGCTACTTCACCAAGCCCTGTTTTGTGTTGGATATTTTTGAGAAGGTCTCAACAAAACTATTTGCCAGACTGGCTTAGAAGTACTTATAATTGGGCAAAATTAGAAGTTGTTTAAATACCAGAAACAGGGATCCGTTGCGTGCATGCTGTAGGTAACTGTGTACTTGAGCTGCCAGCTGGCAGTGCTGGAATACACCTGTCCTTGACCCATTCTAATTGTCTGGTATTGCTGTGCCCCGCTGTTCAGACAGCCCTTCGGGACCAAAGGACTTAGTCCTCCCATGCTGGGTGTGCTGCACCTCCTCAGCATAGCTGGCGGCAACCCTCTGGGAATTCCCCTGCTTGAAAGAGGCCCTGGCCTCACCCCATGTCATTGTGTGTGTGTGGTGCGGTGGCGTGCTGGGGTTTGAGCTCATGGCCTCATGCTTGCTAGGGCAGCTGCTCTACCCACTTGAGCTACTTCACAGCCCTGTTTTGTGTTGATTATTTTTGAGAAGGTCTCACAAACTATTTGCCCAGACTGGCTTAGAATTATTATAATTGGGCCAAAATTAGAAGTTGTTTAATACCCAGAAAAACAGGGATTCCGTTTGGTTGCATGCTGTAGGTATGTTGTACTTGAGCTGCCAGGCTTGGCAGTGCTTGGGAATACACCTGTCCTTGGACCCATTCTAATGTGTTTCTTGGTATTGCTGGGCCCCGCTGTTCAGACAGGCCCTTCGGGACCAAGGAACTTAGTCCTTCCCATTGGCTGGGTGTTGCTGCCCTCTAGCATAGCGGAACCCTCTGGGAATTTCCCCTTGCTGAAGGCCTGGCTCACCCCATGTCATTCCCCTTTTCTTGGCCTATAACTCTCCAAACTGCTTGTGGAATACAAGGTGGTAAGCCCCTTCCCACCTCAAGTGAGAAAATCCTGTAGGAGCCATCTATCCTACCCCTGGCTGCTCCCCAATGGGGGTCACTGTGTCTGCATTAAGCCCAGCACCTCTGTGTCCTCTCCCAGGTGTGGATCCAACCAGCCAGTGGCTTCTGTAGCTGCCTCTTGTTTTTGTAGCCTTGAATCCTGACTTAGGAGACTTTTTTTTCTTTTGGAGTTTACTGGCGGCTTGAACTTAGGCGATCCTCCTGATCTCTGCCTCCCAAATAACTGGAATTATAGCTGTGAGCCACCAGCACCAGCTACAATGTGAAATTTTAGTGACTTTTTTTTTCCTCTTTTGCTACTAAAAATTATCATATTGTATCTTAGTCTTACAAAGTCCCTGTTTTGTGGTTACCACAGGGCCTTTATACATGGTAAAGCAGGCACTCTGCCACTTGAGCATGCCCCAGCCCTTTTGCTTTTGTTTTTGGTCTTTGAGATAGGGTCTGATTAAATTTGCCCAGGCTGGCTCGAACTTTGGGTATCCTGCCTTCCATTTCAAGAGTAGCTTGGATTTACAGGAGTGTTCTCCATGCTTTGCTCCTTTTTTTCTGGTGGGTACTGGGGATTAAGCTCAGGGGCCTCATTGCTTGCTAGCGGGCGTTCTGTTCACTTGAACCCACTCTGCCAGCCCTTTTTTTGTGTTGTGTTTAGGTATTTTTGCGGCTGCCCTTAAACCACAACCTCCTTGATCTCTTGCCTCCCAAGTAGCTAGGATTGATAGGCATGTACCACAGCACCCAGTTCCCACTTCCCTTCTTAATGCAACTTGGACCAAATCACTCCTTGTTGCTAAACTCACTTCACTATTCTGGCCAATTCAGAATTGTATTAGCTCGGCCATCACACATGTGGGGTAGCTTTTTTCTCCAGACGCCCCTCTTGTGTGGACCTTGGTAGAGGGTTACTCTTTTCTGCCTTCGCTCCACGCTCTTTCCTCTCATCCCATATTCTATACCGATGGAAATTCGTTTCCCTTCAAGTCCAGGCTCAAATGTACCCTTCTTTGAGGCCTTTTAGGTCCCCATTTTTTCTTTCTTTCTTTCTTTCTTTTTTTGCTTTGTGTCCTTTTTTAAAGGCCCTTTTTCTTGATTGCTCACTTTGCCCTTTTTTTGTGTCCTCAAATATGGGCCTTGACCCGTGTTGTAGTAGATGGATTTTCTTCAATGCAGGAATTTTGCATGGTATCATCCAGCGATTGGCAGGTAATGGCGTGTTCAGTAAGTGGAAAAACGTGGCTGTTCCACTTGGAATTTGTTCCAGGGGCATTTATGCAATGAGCCTTTGGATATGTACAGCTATCTACACAGCCAGGGGATTGCGTTTCACTTGCTCAGTTCTACATCTCATGGGCTGAGGAGTATTGAAGCTAGGAGAAAAACTCAAGAAAGCAGACGCGGTGTTTCAGGAGGGGATCAGCGAAAGCTAGCCACTGGACAGGCTACAGTCCCAACACCGGTAAGTGCTCCCGGTACTCTTCCAGCTTTTACTTCCAATTGAGAAGTAAATGGTGTTTTTCTACAGCTTATGTATCAGCAAGTTAAGTGTACTTAGTTTCCACTCACTTTTAAAAGACATTATTTGTCATACAGTTAAAATCCACTCTTTAGTGTGCAGTTCTGAGCTTTCACAATAAATAGACATAGTTTAAATGTCACCTGATACAGATACAGAAGGGTGGGTGGAGATGCCTTGGTAGAACTTATCACGTGCAAGGCCATGGGTTCAGATTCTCAGAATGAGCTCGTCACCCTGTCAGGGCCCCTCCCTCTGTTTTCCCTTTGAGGCTGGTCCCATCCTTAATGCTGGCCTGTTCTCCAGCCCTATAGCTTGCTTATCCAGAATGCCATGTAAACAGAGGCACAGTGTAAGTCTTCTTGACTCTGATTCTTGGATTTGTCAGAATGCTTTTGAATTATAAGTTTCTTTTATTCTAAATACAAAGCTGTTTGTCAGATAACATGATTTGTAAAGTATTTTTCTAGCTTAAGTCTAGTTTATTGATTTAAATTTTCATTTTTTTTTTTTCAGTGCTAGGATCAACCCAGGCCTCACCATATTTATTCTTTTAAGTGTCTTACAGAATAAGTTTAATTTCAGAGACGTATAATTTATGATTTTTTTTTGGTATGAATTGGGGGTTTTGTGTTGTATCTAGAACTTCCGTGGCACAAGATCACAAACATTTTTCTCCTAATTTTTTATCTTTGGCTTTATTTCTTTTTACATCAGATCGATACTGATTTAATTATTTTGTATAAAGTGTGGTCAGGGTTCACGTTTTCATGGATGTTCATTTATTCCAGTCGTCTTTTTGGATTAACTTTTATTACCTTTGTCAATAAGCAGTTTATCATATTTGTGTAGGCTTGTCTATTTCTGACACTTTTTTTTTGTTTATCCTGCATCTGTCCATCAGTGTATTACTGCACTTTCTAGACTATTGTATGTTGATTAGTAAGTGTAGAAAGCAGGTAAAAAGACTTTGTTCTTGTTGTAGGTCTTCTAGTGCCTTTGACTTGTTTTAGTGCTGAGGATGAACCCAGGGCTTCACACATGCTAAGCATGAGTTTTTACCCCTGAGCTGCGCCCTCAGCCTCTATGTGCTGTACTTATTTATTGAGACAGGGTCTCCTTGTGTAGCACAGGCTGCCTCAGCCTCCCGAGTACTGGGATTTAGGTATGTGCGACCCGCCTGACTCTCTATATAAAGTTTTATTTTTTGGAGGTACGTTGAACTCAGGGCTCAGTCTTGCGAGGTAGGTGCTCTATAACCTGTTATAAGTTTTAGAATCAGCTTTTTAAAATTTATTTATTGTTTTTTGGTGTGGTTCTGGGAATTGAATCCAGGGCCTTATACTTAATAGGCCTGGCTCTACCATTCAGCTACATCCCTAGCCCTAGGTCTGATTTCTTTTAGTGAGCTTTAGTAGATCTTATCTTTCAAGGAAGTGGTCCATTTTATACCAAGTTTCATGAGTTGTGGGCATGGAGCTGTTTATAATATCCCTTTTTATTCCTGATATTGGTAATTTGTGTCCTTTTGTTCTCAGACTGGTCAAAAGTTTATCAGTTTTACTGATCCTGTCAGAAAATCAGCTTTTTTTTTTTTTTTTTTTAATTGGACTGGGGCTTGAACTTAGGGCCTACACCTTGAGCCAGTCCATCAGCCCTTTTTTTTTTCTTTTATTATTCATATGTGCATACAAGGCTTGAGTCATTTCTCCCCCCTGCCCCCACCCCTCCCTTACCATCCCTCCACTCCGCCCCCCTCCCCCCACCCCTCAATACCCGGCAGAAACTATTTTGCCCTTATTCTAATTTTGTTGTAGAGAGAGTATAAGCAATAATAGGAAGGAACAAGGGTTTTTACTGGTTGAGATAGGGATAGCTATACAGGGAGTTGACTCACATTAATTTCTTGTTCGTGTGTGTTACCTTCTAGGTTAATTCTTTTTGATCTCACCTTTTCTCTAGTTCCTGGTCCCCTTCTCCTGTTGGCCTCAGTTGCTTTTAAGGTATCTGCTTTAGTTTCTCTGCGTTGAGGGCAACAAATGCTAGCTAATTTTTTAGGTTTCTTACCTATCCTCACCCCTCCCTTGTGTGCTCTCGCTTTTATCATGTGTTCAAAGTCCAATCCCATTGTTGTGTTTGCCCTTGATCTAATGTCCACATATGAGGGAGAACATATGATTTTTGGTCTTTTGGTCCAGGCTAACCTCACTCAGAATGATGTTCTCCAATTCCATCCATTTACCAGCGAATGACATTTCGTTCTTCTTCATGGCTGCATAAAATTCCATTGTGTATAGATACCACATTTTCTTAATCCATTCGTCAGTGGTGGGGCATCTTGGCTGTTTCCATAACTTGGCTATTGTGAATAGTGCCGCAGTAAACATGGGTGCGCAGGTGCCTCTGGAGTAACCTGTGTCACAGTCTTTTGGTATATCCCAAGAGTGGTATTGCTGGATCAAATGGTAGATCAATGTCTAGCTTTTTAAGTAGCCTCCAAATTTTTTTCCAGAGTGGTTGTACTAGTTTACATTCCCACCAACAGTGTAAGAGGGTTCCTTTTTCCTCGCATCCTCGCCAACACCTGTTGTTGGTGATCAGCCCTTTTTTGTGATGAATTTTTTGAGATAGGGTTTGGAGAGCTATTTGCCCTGGCTGGCTTCAAACCTCAATCCTTCTGATCTCTGCCTCCTCAATAGCTAGGATTATAGGCGTGAGCCACTAGCACATGGCAAAGAGAGGAATTTCAAATTCTCTTTAATTGTGACTGTGTTTCTTCTTTCAGTCATATCAGTTCTGCTGAATATTTTAAAACTCTGTTGTTACCAGTATACACATTCAGAATTGACTCTTCTGTCATTATATAGTGTTCCTCTTTGTCCTTGACCATACACCTTTGTTCTGAAGTCCGCTTACTCTGATATTTGATATAGCCATTCTGAAACTGGAATGTAACTCAGTGGTGGAGCACAAGCTTAGCATACACAAGGCCTAATTCATTCTCCAGCGCCTACCCTCCAAAAAACCCATCCATTTCTGCTTTCTTTTTGTTTGCATTTCCTTTTTTTTTCGGCTGCACTGGAGTTTGCACTCCCGGCTTTGGCCTTGCTAGGTAAGTGTGCTCCCTGTTGAGCCACACCTCCGAACCTTGCATTTACTTTTTAAAAAACAGCTTTAGAGTTAGATAGCCATCATCACGATCTTACTTTAGAACCTGGGACTTTGCCTGTGAGGCAAATGCTGTACCACCAAGCTGCCCCCACTCAGGACATTTATACCACTGCAGAATGAGCCCCAAGTCCCTTAGTGGTCACTCTCTGTTTCCAGTCTGCAATTCTAGGTGACCACCAGCCTGCTTTCTGGCTAGAGATTGCCTATTCTGGCATGCCACATACATGAAACCTGAGATTCATGGTGGACTCAGTGACTGGCCTCTTCACTTAGCATGGTATTTGCAGCATTTTTATTAGCATAGATTAGTTGTACATGGGGAGCACAATAATTTTTAAGATTCCTCATAAATGAACATAGTTGTGGCATATATCAGTACTTCATTCTGTTTTTCTTTTTCTTTTTTTTTTTTTTTTGGTTTTGTTATTTGTTTGAGACAGGACCTTAGCTATGTAGTTCAGGCTGTCCTCAAACTTACAACCTTCTGCCTCACCCTGTGGAGTGTTGGGATTACAGGCATGTTCCACCACTCCTGGTTTACTTCATTCCTTTTGACTGAGTGATATTCCGTTATATGGATATGCCCCTTTTGTGTTTCCATTCATCAGTTAATGGAATTTCTGTTGTTTCTGGGTTTTGGCTATTATTAAATAATGCTGCTGTGAACATTTATGGTACAGGTTTTTGTGTGGATTTCTAGTTACTTTTAACCTATCTTTTTTTAATTTTTGGTGGTACTAAGGTTTGAACTTGGGGCCCTGTGCTTGCTAGGCAGGTGCTCTACCATTTGAGCCACTCTGCTAGCCCTTTTATTTTTCAAGATAGGGTCTCACTGTTTGCCCAGGCTGGCCTTGAACTCTGATCCTCCTGATCTCTGCTCCCAAGTAGCTAGAGTTTACAGGCATGAGCCACTTGTGTCCACCTTCCTTTTTTCTTTTGAGACAGGGTCTTAACTATGTAGCCCCAGCTGGCCTCAGACTCTCAATCATCCTGCCTCCCGAGTGCTGGAATTACAGGCCTATGCTACTAGGGCCGGCTTTCAACAGTTGTTTTGAGTACATTAAAGGTGTCATTTCACTGGTTTCAGGCCTCCACGGTTTCTGATGAAAAAGCTATGATTACTGATTTGCTTTAGCCATTGTCAAGGTTTTTTCCTTTGTCTTTGGTTTTTAGCAATTTGATTAGGATGAATGTAGGTGTGTTTCTTTTGCATTTAATCTGTTTAGGGTTCACTGGACCTTTAGAATTTGTGAATGGTGCCTTTCACAAAATAGGAAAAGTTTTCACTTGTTATTTTTAAAATACTTTATTTTCCTCTTTTCTTGGAGATAGGGTCTCCCTATGTAGCCCAGCTGGTCTTGAACTCAAGATTGTCTTGCCTCAGCCTCCCAAATGGGGGATTACAGGCATACACCACTACATCTGGCAAAAGACTTTCCTATACCTACATCTCTTCTCTCCTTCTGGTACCTAAGTTACACAGATTTTTTTATACCTTCTGATATTGTTCCTAGGTCCCCAGTACTGCTCATTTAAAACAATTTTTTATAAATTTTTTATTAGGATAGATTCATTATACACGGGGGATTCATACTGATAATTCCAATTAGACTTGTATTATACATTGTTCCCATCATCTCTTCCCCTCAACCCCCTCCCCTTAACCCCCTCTCCACCTCAACCCAGTTAAAGCAATTGCAAAAGGTTTCTTAGTTCTGTTTCATACAGGTATATGAATCTATCTTCCACGTATGAGAGAAAACATACGGCATTTGTGTTTCTTAACCTGGCTAACTTCACTTAACATGATGTCCTCCAATTTCATTCATTTACCTTCATTATTCCTTTTGGCTGAGTAATACTCCATTGTGTATATATACCAAATTTTCTTGATCCATTCATCACTCGTAGGGTATCTGGGTTGTTTCCAAAGCTTGGCTCTTGTGAATAGTGCTGCGATGAGCATTGGTGTGCAGGTGTCTCCACTGTATCCTGTCTTACGTTCCTTTGGGTGCCCAGGAGCGGTATCAGTGGATTGTATGGCAGTTCTATCTCTAGTTTTTTGAGGAACTCCATACTGCTTTCCATGGTGGTTGTACTAATTTTCATTCCTACCAACAGTGTCTACAGGGTTCCTGTTTCACCACATCCTAGCCAGCATTCATTGTTGTTATTACCCTTGAATATGGTCATTCTAACTGGGGTGAGATGAAATCTAAGTATTGTTTTGATTTGCATCTCTTTTATAACCAGGGAAGTTGAACATGTCTTCAGGTATTTACTGGCCATTTGTACCTCTTCCTTTGAGAATTCCCTATTTAATTCATGTGCCCATTTTCTTCCTTGGGGTGTTGATTCTTTGGGGGCTGAGTTTTTTGAGTTCCCTGTAGATTCTGGATATTAGTCCCTTATCAGATGAGTAGCTGGCAAAGATTTTCTTCTGTGGGCTGTCTCTTGAGTCTGGTGACTATTTCCTTTGCTGTGCAGAAGCTTTTTAGTTTGATGGAGTCCCATTTGTTCATTGCTTCTCTAAGATGCTGAGCCTTTTGAGTTCTGTTTAGGAAATCGTTCCCTATACCTGTCTGTTCCAGTGAATTTCCTACTGCTTCCTGGAGTTGTTTCAAAGTTTCAGACCTTATATTAAGGTCTTTGGTCCACTTTGAGTTGATTTTGGTAGAGGGTGAAAGACAGGAATCTAGTTTCAGTCTTCTACATGTGGATATCCAGTTTCCCCAGCAGCATTTATTGAAGAGGCTGTCTTTTCTCCATCATGTGTTTTGGGTTCCTTTGTGATCAGATGACTATAGATGCGTGCGTTTGTCTGGATCTTCTATTCTGATCCATTGCTCCTCCTGTCTGTTTTTGTGCCAGTACCATGCTGTTTTTATTGTTATGGCTCTGTGGTATAGTTTGAAGTCAGGTATTGTGATGCTTCCGGCATTGGACTTTTTTGCTCAGAATTGCTTTGGCTAATTGAAGTCTTTTGTGTTTCCATATGTATTTCAAGATTGATTTTTCTATTTCTGTGCAGAATGTCATTGGAATTTTGATAGGATTGTGCTGAATATGTAGATTGCTTTTGGTACTGTGGCCATTTTCACAATGTTGATTTTACCAATCCATGAGCATGGAAGGTCTTCCCATTTTCTAATGTCTTAGATTTCTTTTTTCAATGGTTTATGTGTTCATTAAAAAGGTCTTTAGTTTCTTTTGTTAAATTTATTCCAAGGTACTTTAATGTTTTTGAAGCTATTGTAAATGGGATTTTTCCCTGATTTCTTTCTTAGTCTTTTTGTTGTTGGTATATAGGAAGGCTATTGATTTCTGTATGTTAATTTTGTATCGTGCTACTTTGCTGAAAGAGTTTATGATTTCTAGTAGTTTTTGGTAGCGTTTTTGGAGTCTCTTAGGTATAGGATCATGTCATCTGCAAATATGGATAGTTTGACTTCTTCCTTCCCTATTTGAATCCCTTTTGTTTCTTGCTCTTGTCTTATTGCTATTCAATATAGGAGTGGAGAAAGTGGACAGCCCTGTCTTATTCCTAACTTAAGGGGAATGGTTTCAGTTGTTCTCCATTTAGTATGATATTGGCTCTAGGTTTGTCATATATAGCCTTTATTATGTTGAGAAACATTCCTCTATTCCTAGTTTCTTCACAGCTTTTGTCATGAAAGAGTGTTGGTTTTTGTCAAAGGCTTTTACTGTGTCAACTGAGAGGATCGTGTGGTTTTTGTCCTTGCTTCTCTTTATGTGCTGTATTATGTTTATAGAATTAAGTATGTTGAACCATCCTTGCATCCTTGGGATGAAACCGACTTGGTCATGATGTATGATCTTTTTGACATGTTGTTAGATTCTGTTGCCAGTATTTTGTTGAGAATCTTTGCATCTCTATTCATTAAAGATATTGGTGTATAATTCTCTTTTCTGGTTATGTCTTTATTGGGTTTTGGAATGAGTTTAATGCTGGCTTCATAGAATGAGTTTGGTAGTGTTCCTTCCCTTTCTATTTCCTGGAAAAGTCTGAGGAATATTGGTGCTAGTTTTCTTTAGAGATTTGGTAAAATTCAGCCATGAATCCATCAGCTCCTGGGCTCTTCTTTGTAGGGAGACTCTTTATTACTGCTTCAATTTCATTACATGTAATAGGACTATGTATGTAGGTGATTAATATCTTCTTGGCTCAATTTTGGTTGGTTATATGCATCTAGGAATTTGTCCATTTTATCTAGACTTCCTAGTTTACTATAAGTTTTCAAAGTACTCTCTAATGAGTCTGGATTTCGTTAGTATTTCTGGTTATGTCCCCTTTTCTTCTCTGATTTTATTAATGTGGGTCTTCTGATATTGTTCCTAGGTCCCTAACACTGCTCATTTAAAACATTTTTAATCTTTTTTTCTGTTAGGCTGATGGACTTTAATGATCTATCTCAGGTCATATTCTCTTGCCGTCTTCCAACTCCATTCTTGTATTGAGTCATCCAAGAAATTTTTAATTTCAGATACTGCATTTTTTAGGAAAAAACAAATTTCTATTTTTTTTGTATTCTTTTTTATAATATCTGTTAAGAATTTGTATCTTGGGCTGGGTGGTGTGGCTCAAGTGGTAGAATGTCTGCCTGGCAAGTGTGAGGCCCTGAGTTTCAAACCCAGTACTGCAAAACAAAAATTGAAACTCATTTGAAACACTTTTACCTTTACCTCATTTGTATTATCTCAGTTACAATAGCTGCTTTAATCTCTCTTGTGTGACATTAACTTGTTATTCAGTTTTAATCATTATTTGATTAGCAAATCTACATTTTATCTGTATTTTTTTCTTGTGGGAACAAAGTTTTGAATAGGATATTTATAAATTTTGGCAATATGAGTTGTAAGAAAATGTTTTAAAGATAAATTGTATAGATAAATAAATTATATTACTTGTTCCTTGTCTTTTCCTGTGAGATCTGGCATATTTTCCTGGCGCTCTGTGTGTCACATAATTATGAATTGTGCCTAGGACATTTGCTCTGAGGTTCTGGTCCTGTTGGTTGATGATCTCTAGAGAATGTTGATGTTTATATCTTGGTGGGCAACCGAATTTCAGATCGTTCCAGTGCCATTCAGTTTTCAAGACCTTCGTTGTGCTGCTGTAGTCTGTTTGTGTGTCCTGTTCAGGACTCTTAAGAGTCTGGGGCAGTGGTTATGTCAGAGCTCAAGCGTCAGGTCCTTTCCCTGGTCCATGGCTCAGGAGCAATCCGGGATGTGCTTGTTTGTGTGTACAGTGAGGAGTCCCCTTCTTCCTCTTATTCCTGTCTAGTGCTGCTCTGTACTCTTTGGCACTCAGAATCCCCTGCTCCCACTCTGACCTCAAAGATGTGCTTTCTCTAGGAGTTTTAGAGCCCCACACCCTCTCTACAACAGTTCAAAACAAAACAGGACACAGCCATGGGAAGGTTGTAAGTTTTGCCTCTTCTCCACAGTCCACTTGCTATGGTATACTTTGTACTCACGATAGTTTCTCTTTGTGCATTGTCTAGTTAGTGTGCAGGAGAGAAAAGTTACAGTAGGCCGTCCACACAGTCCATTCACAGTTTTTATCTTCCTGATGACACTTAGAATGGTGGCAGCAGCACAGAAAGTTGAGTTTTCAAACTCCTGCCAGCTAAGGACAATGTCAAGTTGTGTGCCACTTCAATTCCTATGGGTCGGAAAACTGTGGGTGTGTGGTGTGTGTGCCTGTGCCTGTGAGTGTGGTGTGTGCAGAGAACCCAACGGTGAAAAACATGTGGCGAATGCTAATAGTGGGGCTGTCTGAATTAAGGGTATGTGGGAGTTGGTTACTTTTCAACTATCTAAGTTTTTAAAGTTTTATGGTAAAAAGTTGATGGGAACCTGATTTTTATAATTTCACATTCTTAGTTGCCCTAATTTGATCAACCTAATAGTGATTTTCAGAGTATTTTTAACTTCAAACTTGGACAAAGGGGGAACTAAATCATTCTAGCCAGAACTTTTTCTGATCTCAAGGTGACTCTCCATTTCTGAGAGAATAAACACTTTCTTTGGGACATTTCTGTATTTCTTCCTTCAGTCTATTCGCCTTTGTTTACTTTAACAAATCAGAAACTTTGAGTAGTGGTTATCTCAACCAAAAATTAATTGTCTTTCTCTTCCTTCAGACAATTCCAGGCTCGAGTGTCTCGACAAAGTCTCATGGCGCTTGAGAAAGAAGAGGAGGAGGAGGAAGGTTTTGGGTCTTCTGTACCACAGCGCAGCACACTAGCTGAACTGAAGAGCAAAGGCAAAAAGACGGCCCGGGCTCCCATCAGCCGTGTGGGAGGGGCTCTCAAGGGTGTGTGTGCTAGGTGTTCATTTGGAAAACCCTCAGTCCTTTGTGGTAGGCAAGTTATGCAAGAAGATAAGGCATAAAGATATGTGTAGTAACTGTCCTAGCTTCCTGAGGCCTGGGTAGCAGAAGGAAGTCAAAGGAGAGCTAATAGAACTGTGCAGTAAATCCAAAAAGTTCCAGCAGTTTTGTGTCTGAATTAAGGAATACCTGATATTTAGGAAACATCATCTTCTACATGGTTTGTTTTTTTGTTTGTTTGTTTTTTGGTTTTTTTGAGGCACTGGGGTTTGAACTCAGGGCCCCAGGCTTGCAGAGACAGGTGCTCTTACTGCTTAAATCAATCTGCCAGCCCTGGAAGCATCATCTTCTGAGTTAGAGTTTGTTAGTTGAAAGAAATGTGTAGTAGTACAGTAGGTATCAAACTAAAGTCTCAGACAATGACATTAATGTAGTCAAGGATCCCATCCTCAGCCTTTTACTACCAGAAATTGGGCATACAAAGGTGATGGTAATTAACAGGGAACTTTAAAAATAATTGACAGTAACTTTTTTAGATTAAGTTTAGGTTCATAGCAAAATGATCCAGAAAGTAAAGAAACAACAAACTTTAACTGATTTATAGCAGATAGACATGTGGACCAGGCTGATTGTTTTGGTTTCTTATTCCTCTCCTGGTATCAGTTTATCAGGAATCAGAATGATGCTTGAAAATCCTGGAATTAGAATGCATGGTGTATAGTGCCAGCAGCTATTACATTGAGCTCCTGATGGAGCTTAAAATGATAACCTATCTCACGACAGAAAACATCCCTAATAATGGGTCGATTTTGTGTTCTCTGCTTGTGGTACATTGTGTTGATTTCCACTGAAAGAAAATTTAAAGCTGAAAAATAAAGATTTAGGTTAGTTCTTGATAAAACCAGATGCTGTTATGATGATGACTGAAGGAAGATGTAGAATTTCTTTTTTGGAAATTTATGAATAAAAGATTGAAGGTGGTGGGACAGGGAAAAAGAATAAGACAGAATGATAATGCTACTAATTGATTCATTAAGGTTTAAAAGTTTTAATCTCTTGTCATTTTATGGTAGTGGAAATATTGTCCTTTGGGGAAGAATAGGTGTGCCCTATGTGGTATCCAGCCTGATAGTTACAGACTTCATGTGAGATGTTGTCATTTCTCTCCTAGCTCCAAGCCGGAATAGAGGACTCCAGAATCCAGTCCCTCAGCAGATGCAAAGTAATCGTCAAATTACTGTTTTTGATGAAAATGCCGATAAGGCTTCTAGAGCAGAGTTGTCTAAACCTACAGTCCAGCCGTGGATGGCACCCCCTGTCCCCAGGGCCAAAGAGAATGAGCTGCAAGCAGGCCCCTGGAATTCAGATAGGCCCTTGGACTACAGGGTGAGGGACAAACGTATTGCCAACATAACAAAGACTTCTTTCGGTTTTAGAGTAGAAGAGTATTTTTAGCATCTCTTAATTCCTTCTGAATATCTAAGCATGATCTGTGTGTTTTGTGGCAGAATGTAAAACTATGGTAATTTTGGTTTTCTTTATTTCCAGCCTCATGGCACATCAGCTTTGCTAACACCTGCACCCCCGGTGCTTCCCAGTTTTACTCCATATGTGGAAGAGACTGCACAGCAGCCAGCCATGTGAGTTTGGTGTCCAGATGCCTTCAAGTGTGAGTTATTAAGGGTGAACAGAGGCACCTGTTGTAGTTCCAGAGATATTTCTGTCTTTGTAGGAATGAAAGTAGCAACGCAAAGCTTTGTGTCCTCTGTTTGTATTCCTGGAGTATGTTAGTGCTAAAAGATCATGGAGTTATATTTTTATCAGAAAAAAATTAATTAATAATTAATAATTAATTAATTAATTAATAATTAGGTTTATATTCACATTGCTGTAACAAATGTAATCATTGCCAGGCGCTGGAGGCTCTTGCCTCCAGTACCCATAATCCTAGCTACTCAGGAGGCAGAGATCAGGAGGATCATGGTTCAAAGCCAGCCCAGGCAAATAGTTCATGAGACCCTATCTCGGAAAAACCCTTCACAAAAAATAAGGCTGGTAGAGTGGCTCAAGGTGCTCAAAGTATAGGCCCTGAGTTCAAACCCAAGTACTGCAAAAACAAACAAACAAAAAAAAGAAACACCCCACAAAGGTGGTAATCATTGTGATTTAAGTGAGATGTTCTACTTTTAAGCAGATAATCAGTCTGAGGTTTTGTCTAAAACTTATCTTTGCCAAGTTCTAATACTAGGTTCAGTTCTGTGCCTCAGTGTACCAGTTTCTTTGTCAATTAATTTAGAACTCATACTAGATACCATAACAATGCAAAAATAAGTAACATTTTTAAGCAAAAATTCTGAGGAGAGCTCAGGAGCAGGGAAGCTATTTCTTTTTTTTTTTTTTTTTAATCTCGGGGCCTACACCTTAACCACTCCATCAGACCGTTGTTTTCTTTCTTTTTTTTTTTTTGTGATGAGTTTTTTTGAAATAGGGTTTCGTGATCTATTTGCCCAGGCTGGCTTCGAACTGAGATCCTCCTGATCTCTGCCTCCTGAGTAGCTAGGATTACAGGCATGTGCCACCAGCACCTGGCTCTTTCTTTTTTATTTATTTATTTATGTTGAGGGTTTGTACCCATGCTGGCCTTGAGCTCAGTATGTACCCTAGGCTGGTTTTGAACTCAAAATCTTCCTGTCTCAGCCTCCCCAGTGCTGGGATTACAGCTGTGCACTACCATGTTCAGCACTGGGGAGGCTATTAAGAAATTCACATGAACCTTTATAGAAATTGTTAGCATACATTTATAGAATGTAATTTTTCTAATGTTTCAAGTCACTTTTTAGAAGCACAAATTATATAAAAGTTAACATGGTAAAGAAAATGTTGAACTTTATTCTTATTTAAATTCTTTTTCATGGGTGTCTTATTTGACATCTCTACACATTTTTCTTTAGGTTGAGGGTAGGGTGGGGTTTGAGATAAGAGTCTTGCTGTGTAGCCCAGGCTGGCTTTGAACTCATAATCTCCCTGCCTTAGCTTCTAGAACACTGCATTACAGGTGTATGCCTCAGTGCCCACATGTGTTGTGAGTTTTTCTTTTTGTTTTGGTGGTGCTGAAGGTCAAACTCAGTATACTTACTAGGCAGGTGCTCTACCACTTGAGCCACTCCACTGGCCCTTTTTTTCTGCCAGCTCTTGGAATAGCTTCTTATGTAAGTGCTTTATATGTTTTCCAAATGGAAATAGTTATGCAAAATGAATTGACATTGTATGAATTTTAAAGCTACCCAGAAAACTTTTTAGATAAAGTAAAATCTAAGTTTGGTTTGGAACAAGTTTAAGTTCTTTATTTTTCAGTTATACTTTTTAAAAAAAGAAATTATTAAATTGCCAGGCACTGTGGCTCACACCTGTGATCCTAACTACTTGGGGCAGGGGCGGGCGGGAGGGGCTGAGATCAGGAGGATTGTGGTTCAAGACCAGCCCTCAACTCTTATCTCCAAAATAATTAGGGGAAAATGGACTTGGAGGAGTGGCTCAAACTGTAGAGAGCCTGCTTGGCAAGCATGAAGCCCTGACTTCAACCCCAGTACCTCCCAAAAAACGTAAACCAAACAAACAAAAGTATATATAAGTCCTCATGAATGATTTGGCCTCTGCTCACATCTCTATTTCCCCTTCCCACATGTGGTCACACTAGGCGATAAGCTCCTGAACTTGTCTAGAACACCCTCGCCTCCCCTCTTACCTTCTTCCACCTGGCTTATTTTTATTTCCACTATAGGACTGTGCTCAGATGTTGTTCCCTCCAGGAAACCTTTTGTGAAACACTTGCTATTATCCGTTCCATCTGTGCCACCCCCCTCTCCCACCATCCTCTCCAGATTTGCTTCATACCCTACACAATGTTTACCTCCCCTTGTAGACTTTCTGTTTCTTCCCATCTGCTAGGTCAGGTACTGTGTCTTCCAACTCTAACTCCAGTAGCTGACATAGGGTAGGTGTTAAATGTTTTATTGAGTGTTTGGGTATATGTAGTTCCAAAACTAAGTACTTCTGGAAATACATTTTGTGTAATTCAGTTCTAGAAATCATTTGAATACAAGAATTACTGGATACCAATATCTTGTTTTATTTTCCCTAATTTTAAATAGTTTCTGCTGCCAGCTTTTTCTTTGAGTAGATTTTAGTTTGGAATGACTTTAGATTTATAGAGAAGGTAAGAAGACAACACAGAAAGTCTGTGTACCCCTACTCCACATACCCTGATGCAAGCGAACACTTTCTAACCTGCGGTGTATTTGCTAAAACTGAGAAATTACCATTGATGCAGTACTGGTGACCACTAGAGAGGGCTCTGAGGCTCCCTCACTTTGATCTCATTTTCTGCTGATGTCCTGACACCAATCCAGAATGCCAACTTGCATTTAGTAAGCTTTCCTTTGATCATCTCCTTTGACCTAATTTTTTAAAGTACAAGTTGAAAAATAAAAACACTTGTTCCAAACAAAATTCAAATCTTGTTTTATCTAAAAAGTTTCCTGGCTAGCTTTAAAATTCATTGTCATGTCAATTCTTTTTGTTTTATATAGCCATTTCAGTTTAGCAAGCACAGTCACTTATGCATTTGAACAGAAAACTATTGGAGGGCTTTTGTTTTTTCTTTTGTTCCACTTATGAAGTAGCTACAACATTTTTAAACTAGAAAATTATTTCCAGTTACAACTATTTAGTGGCCAATCAGGGTTCAGAATCCAAGTTTTCTGACTGCCAGTTTTTTAGGATGATACATTTTTTGTGATATGCTGCTTCTCGTACATAAAGCTTCTGTTCCATTCCCTACTCCTTCAGACTTGTACTTTAATACTCAGTATTTAATTTAGTCTTTCTTTTCTTTTCTTTTTTTTTTTTTTTGCAGTTTTGGGTTTTGAACTCAGGGCCTTGTGCTTCCTCTACTGGAGACTGCACTATTTTATATTTCCACATTCCCATATGCATGAGTGTCCTCATTTCTCCACATCCTTGCCAATATTTGTTGGTATCTGTCCCTGGTTATTACCATCCTTGTGAGTGTGAAGTGATCCCTTTTTTCCTTTTTTTTTTTTTTTTTTTTTTTTTTTTTGGTACTGGGGTTCAAATCCAGAGCCTCATACATGCTAAGCAAACACTCAACCACTGAGCTGCATCTCCAGCCCCTCTTTGTGGTCTGATATGCAGTTTTCTAATGACAAGTGACTTAGAGCATGTTTTCATGGATTTTTTGGCCATTTGTACATCTCTGGAGAGACATGTACTCAAATTCTTTTGCTGTTTTTAATTGAGTTGTCTTTTCATGGTTGAGTTGTAAGAGTTCTTTATATATGATAGATATAAGTTTCTTCTCAGGTACATAATGTACAAATATTTTCTCCTATTCTGAGTTGTCTTTTTACTTTTTATTTTATTTCTTGGCAGTACTGAGAATTGAACCCAAGGCCTCATTGTGCTGTGCTCTATTGTTGGACCACATCCTCAGCCTTTTTGTTTGTATTTTGTTTTTGAGATAGGGTCTTTCTGACTTTTGCCTGGACTGACCTTGAACTCTAGATCCTCCTGGGATTATAGGTGTGTGCCACAATGCCCCACTTTCTTTTCATTTTCTTGATGAAATCTTTTGAAGCCCAGAAGTTTTGTTGCTGTTTTTATTTTGTTTTATTTTTTTCTGACAGGGTCTCACTGTGTAGCCTAACCAGACCTCGAACTGGCTATGTAGTCCATGGTGGCTTTTAATTTGAAATCCTCCTGCCTTGGCCTCTCTTGTACTGGGATTATAGGGATGGCCACCACTCCAAGCCAGTTCTTTGAGTTTTGACCAATGCATTATGTCATCTTTCCATCATTCTATTGCCTTACAAAAGTTTTACTGCCCTAAAAATCCCCCATGCTCCATCTTCTTCCCTCCCTTCCTCTCCCTGAGTCACTGGGAACTACTGATCTTTTTTATTGTCTTTACAGTTTTGCCTTTTTCAGAATGTCATATACCTGGAGTCATACCCTCTCAGACTCGCTTCTTTTGCTTGACGATATACATTCAGGGTTCCTGCAAATCCTTTTTCAGCTTAGTAGCTCCCTTTCCTTTAGTGGTGCATGATATTTCATTGCACAGATTTACCATAGTTGTTTATCCATTCACCTATTGGAGGATACCTTGGTTGCTTCCAAGTTTTAGCAGTTATCAATAGGTTGCCTAAACATTCATATGTAGCTTTTTGTTTGCACAGAAGTTTTTAATTCATCTGACTGGGCTGGATCGTAAGGCTAAGTTTATCTTTGTTCTAGTTTGCATTCCTAGTAACTGTGGATGAGTTCGCATTGCTCCTCATCCTTGCCAGCGTTAGTGTTATGAATATTTTAGATTTTAGCCACTCTAATAGGTATGCAGTGGTGTCTCGTTATTGTTTTAATTGCAGTCCCTTAATGACTTCTGATGTTGAGTGCCCTTTCATATGCTTATTTTTCATCTGTATATCTTTGATGAGATAACTGTACATATTTATTTTAAATTTGTTCTGAGAGCTGGCCTCTAGTAACTCATGCCTGTAATCCTAGCTACTCAGGAGGCAGAGATCAGGAAGATCATGGTTCAAAGCCAGCCAGGGCAAATAGTTTGAGAGACCCTATCTTGGAAAAAAACCCATTACACAAAAAGGGCTGGTGGCATGTCTCAAGATGTAAGCCCTGAGTTCAAACCCCCGTACCAAAAAAAAAATGTTCTGTGTTTTTTGTTGTTGTTGTTGTTTTTAAGAAAGTTCTTATAAATAGAATCATTTTCTGAATTTTATTTTCAGGTTGTTCATTGCAAGTGTACAGAATGCAGTTTTTCTTTTGAGGTGGGAACTACCGTGTTGCCTAGGCAATATATGGTCCTGGGTTCAAGTGTTCTCCTGCCTTGGCCTCTTGAGTAGTTGGAACTATAGTCGTTCCCCATCCTACCCAGCAACTTGGCTGATTTAATGCGATCACGTTCTTGGATTACTATATAGAGATAGTTTCACTTGATCTTTTCCCATCTGGGCTACTTCTGTTTCTTTTTCTTGCTCTGGCCAGAACTTCTAGTACAGTGTCAAATAGAAGTGGCAAGAGTAGACATCCTCGTCCTATTCCTGATCTTAGAGGGAAAACATCAGACTTAAACAGTGATGTGTGATGTTAGTGTGAGTTTTTTAGAGAAGTCCTTTATCAGGTTGAGCCAGTGGGAGAAGCCTTTTAAACATGGACATGCTTAAATCTACCATTATAGTTTCTGATTCAGTTGACCGGGGAAGGACCAGATATCTTTAGTTGTGGTTGTGTACATACCTGTAATCCCAGCTACTCAAGGGCTGAGGCAGGAGGACCTTGTGTTCAAGTCCAACCTGGGCAACCTAGGAAGGCCTTATCTCAAAATAAAAAAAGAGTTAGGGTCATAATTCAGTGGTACAGTGCTTGCCTAGCATGCAAAAGACCCTGGACTCTATCCCCAGTACTAGGAGTGGGAGGGAAGCATATAAGAAAATACTTCCCCTTAGTTAAAAACCTTAAAGTAGGGCTGGCGGAGTGGCTCAAGTGGTATAGCACCTACCTATCAAGTGTGAAGCCCTGAGTTCAAACCCCAGTGTTGCTCATATAATTCTATATTTCTAACTAATTTCTTTGGATGCAAATCAGTGAAAAATTACTTCATTGCTTAGGTTAACTTCCTTTCGCACACTGGGTTTGAATAAGATGTAGTCTTCAGGCTTATTTTTACCTATAAGTGATAGATGACCCTAACCTACTGCTCATTTCCTATCTCAGAACACTGTCCACCTCTTTCCTGGTGTTGGGGATCAAACCCAGAGCGTGAGTGCTCGCTCATGCTGAGCAAGTGCTTTACCTCTGAGCTACATTCCCAGACCCAGGGCAAAATTATTGAGGATCCTTGTAAGGTACTTTTAGCCCCTTTGTTTAATCTTTCTTACTTCTCACACTTTTTTCTCTTGAAATGGATAACGTATAGCATTGCTGTTGGCATTGTCCATGTGTTTAGTGAAAACATGTAAGAAATAACATTTGACTTCACAGTCAATAGTAATTATTTTGTGTCTTTAGGACACCTTGTAAAATTGAACCGAGTATAAACCACGTTCTAAGCACCAGAAAGCCTGGAAAGGAAGAGGGTGATCCCCTGCAAAGGGTTCAGAGCCATCAACAAGAGTCTGAGGAGAAGAAAGAGAAGATGATGTATTGTAAGGAGAAGATTTATGCAGGAGTTGGGGAGTTCTCCTTTGAAGAAATCCGGGCTGAAGTTTTCCGGAAGAAATTGAAAGAGCGAAGGGAAGGTATGTATGTTGGTCTAATTCAAATTTGTGAAAGTAGCTTTCTATAGGAAGGTTGAGCTGAAACATTAAGTCTAAGGAAAGTTGCCCCGTTATCCACACCTTTGTGTGATGTTTCTGTGGCCTGCTGTTTCCCTCTGTATATACGCTGAACTCCCATTGCTGCTGCCTACATAAACCCTTGTGGAAAAAGTGAGTCTGTACTCAGGCTGAAGGAAGAGCAGCAGCTGGAGTGTGCAGGAGCAAGTCATATTCCCCAACGAAATAAACAGACATCTATGATCCTGACTTGCGTGCGTGTGTGCCATGCTGTTAAGTACTTTTCTAGTTCACATTTTTGAGGCAGAATCTCACTATGTAGCTCAGGAAGACCTTGACCTTGTGATCCTCCTGCCTTTGCCTCCTGAGTGCTGAGATTACAGGTGTGTACCATCACTCCCAGCTGAGTACTTGTCTTGATGTTACCTGAAGTTAAGTCATTGCATCTTTAATACTCAGCCTGAAATTCTCCAAGGGCTTATTTAGAATAACATATTTGGTCCCATCTTAGCCACTTAGAATAGTGACTTGTATTCTCTCTTAAAGACATTATCTTCTTTCTAAATTAAGGGACGCTTTAGTATAAGTTGAGAAACTGAGGATTTGAGGTAATGGAGTCTGGAGTACTTGGTAGTGGCAGGGAAGCGGAACAGGCTGAAAAGCAGAGAAGGAAATACTTGGGGTCTAGGGCATTAGCACCTGAGGAGAGGAAGAAAGGGGACAGTCCAAAAATAAATTTCAGCCATTTACACATTTTGGTTATGACCTATACCAGGAAAGAAGAAAGTAATGTTTCTTATACACAAATACCAGGATGGCCTGATGCTGTAGGCCAGTTCTCTTAACAGGAGGCAATACTTCTGTGGTTGGCTGTGGCAAGTTAAAAGCACACTTCTGTAAAGTGGACTGTCAGTAAGCTTAGAATTGCCTTTACTTGTTACATTGCCTTCCAAGGCTGACACAAGTGCTCTGGTTCAGGTAACGCATTCAAAATGGAGCCTGTGTATCTAGATAGGAAGGAGGCATGACTGTAAAGCAAGAAGTTAGTGGGGTGAGGCTTTTTAAAAGGAATTGTCCCAAGAAAGAAATAGGCAGCAGGGGGTGGGGGTGGGGGTGGGGAGCCTGCTGAACTGGGGGAGGGGAACTAGGTTTTTAGATCATACATTATTAAGGAAAAAATCTAGCCCATACCTGGCATATAGAAGTAAGACAGAAGTACATTTTATTCTCAGCTCCCAAAGGACCCATGCTAGGGTTAAGTGGGATTTGAGGAGATAAAAAGGCATTGACCTCTGAAAGGTTTTGTGGACTTTTTCTTTTTGTGTGTGTTTGGGGACGGGGGTTGCTGGGGATTGAACTCTGGGAGTTTTGTTTGGTTTCTTGTTTTTTTTTTTGTTTTTGCTTGTTTTTTTTGGCAACACTGGGGTTTAAACTCAGGGCTTCATGCATGCCAGGCAGGTGCTCTACCATTTGAGCCACTCCACTAGCCCCTGCTTGATTTCTTTTTGAGACAAGGTTCATAATTTGCTAAGCGCCTGGCTCGGCATTATTTTTTTCTGTCTCTGCACCATCACTACCACAGCTTTTCAATTCTTTGACCTCTGGCAGTCTCTTCCTCAACTCCACTCATTACCCCTCCCATGGTCTTACTGTAGACCTTGCCACCACTGAAATCTGCTTTGAAGTTCCTGTATTTTGGCCCATCACCTTCTCTTTTAGCTCACTTGCTATAGGACTGTACTCCTGGAATCAGAAATCGCATCTGTCCCTAACACTTGCTGTCTTACTATTCATTGCCATGTTTGTGTCCTGACTTCCTGTCTTCCCAGCTTAGCCATGATCAATCATTCTCATCCCTTCCCTAGAAATACCCTGTGTGTGCACCTGGCAAGACCTTAACCCTGCTTATGTTCAGCTGTCTGCTCACATTGTGCACCTGCATTCCAGTGGCTTAAATATACCTGTTAGTGTACTGGTCTCATGTTAAATCTGTAACCACAAATCTCAAATGGGTATTCACCAGTGCCTAGCAGTCTTCCTATGGTTCCCTGGTAGATGGGTTTCTTCTGTCTGCTAGACAACTAATTTTCAAATCATTTACATCTTTGTCCCTTCTCAGCTATGATCTATGTCCTAGTTCATTGAGAAAACAGAGGCAGTCTACCAAATCTACCATCTTATCTAAAGTCTGTGCTCATACACTCTCCCCAGCAGTCTTTCTGTTAAAATTGGGCTGGCGGAATAGCTCAAGTGGTAGCATGCTTAGCATGTGAGGCTCTGAGATCAACCCCCAGTACCGCCAAAAAAAAAAGTTAAAATTTTTCTATTCCTGTTAGGGTCTGTCCATTTGTTTGCTTGGTTAGTTCGTTGCTGTTGTTTTTTGCAGTTTTGTGTGTGTGTGTGTGGGGGGGGTGTGTTACTCAGGCCCTCATACTTGCTAGGCAGGCGCTCTAGCACATGAGCCACACTTCCAGCCCCCATTTGAGTTTTAGAACTTATCCTCTTCTCATCTCAAAGATTTGGCCCTGACAGTTTTCTTTCTCCTCCAGCATTTCTCTCTTTCTACTATTCTCTTCAGACAAAGGCACTGCTTTTTAAGAATTCTCCCATTGTCCGCATATTCCTCTCAAGCCATTAGCCCATTTTTCCACTTCCATTTACAGCAAGATTTCCTGGGTTGTAATCAGATTTTTTCATCATCCATTATTTCCTTGGGCTTCCGTTCTCTTCAGTGACACAGCTCTGATCATGGTCACCATAAACCCTTTTGCCAAATCCATTGGCTGTTTGTTAAAACACCATGTGAAGTCAGGCGTGGTGGTCATAGATATAATCCCAGCTCTAGGGAAGGTAAGGTAGGAGGAGCGTGAGTTTGAGGCCAGCCTAGGCTAAGTAGCAAGACCCTGCCTCAGTTAAAAAGCAAAGACAAAAAAACCCATCCATGACTTAGCCATTCCCTGCCTCTCCAACACCATCTGTTACTAGTCTCCCTCTTACTGTGCTGCAACCAGGCTGGTTTTCTTCTGGATTCTTGAACACACTGACCTTTTTCCTGCATTAGGGGAACTTTTTCTAGGTCTTTCTGTTACCCGCCCTTTGGCTGTCAAGTTTCAGCTTTATCAGAATGGCTGTATCTGATCACTGGTCTTTAGTAGCCACTGAGCTCCAGCTTTTATCTAGTCCCAATTCTCCTATCATTTTATTTACACACCAATTTTTATTAATTTCTTTGTGTGTCTCCCATACTTAAATGTTTGGCATCACACCACCAAGAACTTGGTGTTGTACATCACTGAACCTGTTTAAAAGTTTACTTGGCACATACTAGATAGGGTACTCTTATTTACTATGTGAATAGTAGAGACCTGGACCTCAAATTGAGGCCCTCGCTTCACTTGTATCATTTTCTCCTGCACTGACATCTGCAGTGAGGATTTAAGATTAACCCCCAAAGGCAGTTTTGACAGAATAAGTTGCCTGAGGAGCAATGCCTCAGCCACCTCTACTGTTTCCAGCCGAGCTGTTGACCAGTGCAGAGAAGAGAGCAGAGATGCAGAAACAGATTGAAGAGATGGAGAGGAAGCTGAAAGAAATCCAGACTACTCAGCAAGAAAGATCAGGTGATCAGGTAATTTTTACTTTTTTAATTCACAAACCTAATGTTTGGGGAGTTACATTAGCTTTTGGTGGTTGTTTGGGTTTTTTGGGGAGGAAGGTGAGTTTTTTTGTTTGTTTGCTTGTTTGTTTTTGTTTTTTGCAGTGCTGGGGATAAAACCCAGGACCTGTAGATGCTAGGCAAGCACCCTACCTTTGAGCTACATGCCCAGGCTGAAATAAATTTAAACATATATTGTTAAATGAAGTATAGAAGGTTAAAGTCTTCCCAGCCCCCATTCAGTTCTCCGTAGTTTGTTATTAATATCAGGGAAGAAATTTAACAGGAGACTTCAAATAGAAGTCTTGGCTTATGAAATAAGTGACACAACTCATGGCTTCTTACTTATATTTTAACCTACATTTTGCTAACTGATTTTAGCAAAAAATCAGTTTTATTCCAGTCATCTTCCATGGAAATGGGTTACGTAAAGAAATGCAGTCTGTGTTTGGCACTGCTCAGTTGAGTACAACAGACCAGTTTGTCCTGGGAACACAACTCTTTGGAAGGACTGTGGTACAGACATTTTGTGTGGTTAGTGGATGCTGAGGGGAGAGCACAGTAAAGCCAGCATTAGCTAGAGCTAGAAAGTAGCCAGCATTTTCTGGATGAGAGAGACATTGCTTTTATTTTAATAAAACAGCAAAAAGAGAGGGTGCTTATAGAGGAGCCAGCCCAACTGCCAATTGCTTCAGAGTCCCAGGAAATGCCAGGAATGGCCCTGTCCAGTTCTGCATGTCCACTCAACTCTTACCCCAGGTAAGACCCCATTGGCAGAAGGGTTAGGGCTTGTAGGAAAGTATTTGATTCTAGTGGCTTGAAGTTTCCTTGGCTCTGACATGATTTTTTTTTTTTTTCTTTGCGGTCCTGGGGCTTGAACTCAGGGCCTACACCTTGAGCCACTCCACCAGCCCTGTTTCTCACGAACTATTTGCCTGGGCTGACTTTGAACTGTGATCCTTCTGTTCTCTGCGCCCTGAGTAGCTAGGATTACAGGTGTGAGCCACCGGCACCCGGCTCACTCTATTTTTTTTTAAGTTTCTGTCACAATGTAAGCTTTCATGCTGACTTTTTCCATTTAAAAAAAAAAAAATCATGGCCTCCTGGTGCTTACCACAGCTGTGTTCTTACACTGACTGTATAGAAAGAGGAGGCAAAGTAAACCTACCCCATATGCACCTCAGCCCAGGCCATATGCCTGGTCTGCATTGTGAATGGGGAAACATGAAGTGGGAAAAAAAGGGAAAAAAAAAAAATCATGTTCCTCCCGGGCCTGGTGGTGCATTCCTATAATCCCAGCAAGCATATAGTGGGTTTGAGACCAGCCTGGGCTACACATCCAGACCCTGTCCAATAAAACAACAAATAAGTTTGCCACCAAGAGAACTGTTGACATAGGTAGGTGTTTGTCTCCTTATGTGCACTATGGGTTCTTTTTTTGTGGTCTTGGGGTTTGAGCCACTCCACCAGACCTTTTTTTGATGGGTATTTTCTAGATAGGGTCTCACAAACTATTTGCCCAGGCTGACTTCGAACCGCGATCCTCCTGATCTCTGTTTCCTAAAGCTAGAATTATAGGCGTGAGCCACCGGTGCCCCACTGTGCACTACTTTTTTTGTGACACTGGAGCTTGAACTTGGGGCCTCACACTTGTGAGGCAGGCTTCTACCACTTGAGCCACTCCACCAGCCGTGTTTTTTGTTTTATAAAATTGGCAGCTTACCACTTTGCAACCTACTTAACAATGTAACTTAGTGTCTCCCATTAAGTATACTTCCACAGCATTTTTAATGATCAAGGGTCCATCTTCCAATAGAATTTGCATTGACCACAGTAGGATATTTCTTAGAATCAAGATTATATTTAATCTTGAACTTTTAAAAATCAAACAGCTCTTTCTGTGGTATCAAGCACACGTTGTAAAGCAAATGTCTTCACAGGGAAGCTTCACTGGCAGAAAACATTTGGCAAGATGAGCCTCACTGTGAAGGTGAGTTTCACTGAGGAGCACAAGAGGGGCTTGTGCCACAAGTGGGATTGTCTGTCGTGATTATGGGAAAGTGATGCAGACAGGATAGACGCAAAATTCATCACCGCTTCGAATTGTTTGGCTTGAATAAGATTTTAAATTTACACTGACTACCAAATAATCTGCCACATAGGTCCTGTACACCAAGCTAAGCATAACACTAGTGTCCAGCAGCCAATACTGTAAGGAAAGTGGTTTTTGGAGGGAAAAAATTTTAAATCGGTTCTCCTTTCTATTCAGAAATGTGTTAAAAAACAGTAGAAACATGAATATCCACTTGGAAGTAGTTTTGCAAAAATAAGCCAAATTGAGTTGAATTGTAAATCCTAACACTGCACCCCCCCCTCCCCAGCCCCGGTCACAGGGAAACTGTGCAGGCATGGCACTGGCAAGGCTAACGAGAACATAAGAGAGCCAGCCTCAGTAGATGAGTCTTTAAAACACGTTTAGGAGTCTCTTCTGGAAGAACATTCTGAAATATTTACAAATAAAACAATCGGGTTTTGGATTTGGGGAGTAGTAGCATTGCTGGAGAAATAATTGAAGCAAGGTCATCCGTGGTTAGGTCATTGTTATAATTAAATGATCTCTACTTTTCTATGCTTGAAGTTTTTCATCATAAAACAGATTGCCTTTCTGCTTTCAAACAACATAGTACATTGTCTCGCTATCTTGAAGAATAAAGCAACTCCTAAAATAAATACATGTGGACTCTCTATAGGTGCCAGTGTACCCTTCTCCATATTTGATGAGTTTCTTCTTTCAGAAAAAAAGGATGAAAGGTTTGTTGGGTTTTGTTGTTGTTGTTTTTTATTTAACCTAAGTTTCCTGCTGTTATAACTGAGAGGAGCTGGGTGTGGTGGCACACGCCCAGAATTCAAGCACCCAAGAGATTGAGGCAGGAGGATCTCAGGTTCAAGGCCAGCCTGGACTACATAGCTGGAGCCTGTCTCAAGAAAATTAGAAATTGAATTAAGGGGTTATTGTTATGTTTCTTTCTTCCTTCCTTCCTTTCCCTTCCTTCCTTCCTTCCTACCTCCCTCCCTCTCTTCCTTCCTTCCTTCCCTTTTCTTTCTTTCTTTTTTTACTGTTGTCTTTTAAAAGAAAAATTCCTAAATGGAGTATGTCTCTTTCCAGCCCTTCTGCAGATCCCTCACGGGTTTTAGCCCAACGAAGACCCCTTGCAATTCTCAAAACTACAGAAAGCATCACCTCAAATGAGGATGTGTCACCAGACCTATGTGTAAGATCCCTAAGCTAATATAAACACACTATGAATTGCTTCATCCAAATCTCTCAAGTTTATGGCTATAGTTGAGCATGGTGGGGCACACCTGTAATCCCAGCACTTGGGAGATGGAGGCAGGAGGATCTTGAGTTCAAACCCGACTGGGCTATACAGGGAGACCCTGTCTCAAAAACAAAACAAAATTTAAGGTTAGAATTACAGTCAGTAAGGTGAAGTAAGCATGTTGCTCGGCACCACCAGCACACAGCACACAGTGAGAGCTGCTTGTCCCCCGCAGTCGAGGAGAGGGGCACTGAGAAGCGTTGGACGCCGGCAGTGCTAAAGATAGTTACCGTAAGACTCAGCACTTCTCCTTGTGAACATGTATCCAAGAGAATGAAAATTTGTTTTTTTAAAATCTTGCGTACAAGCAGGTGCTGATGGCTCACACCTGTGGTCTTAGCTCCTTGAGAAGTTGAGATTGGGAAGATTGTGGTTCAAAGCCAGTTCTGGCAAATAGTCTGAGAAGACCCTGTCTCCAAAAATAACTAGAGTAAAATGGACTCTAGGTGTGGCTCAAGTGGTAGAGCACCTGCTTTGCAAGCGCAAAGCCCTGAGTTCAAAACCTGAGCCCCACTTAAAAAACTTGTGCACAAATGTTCGTAGAAATATTACTCATGGCTGGGCGCGAAGATGGCTCACATCTGTAATCTTAGCTACCTGGGAGGTAGAGATTGAATTTTTGCCAGCTTGGGCAAAAATTGAGTAAGACCTCCATCTCAATTGATAAGCTGGCGTGGTGGCACACATCTGTGGTCCCAGCTACAAGGGAGGCCCTAGTTAGGAGGATTGTGATCTGAGCTGTAGCTAGGATGTTTGAGGGTTCAAGTTGGCCCCAGGCGAAAACACAAGACCCTACCTGAAAAATAACTAAAGCAAAAAAGGGCTGTGAGCATGGCTTAAGTGGTAGAGCATTTGCTTAGCAAATGGATGCTCTGAGTTCAAAATGTTGCCCTGTAAAAGGCATGAAATACTGCTATGTGTCAGGCTCGTGGATGAACTTTGAAAACATACTAAGCAAAAGAAGCCAGGCATGTCAAGTAAAGAATCATCTCTGGTCGGCCGTGTAAACAAGCACCACATCGTGACAAATGTGACTGAATTTACAGGAACTATCTAGACTTGCAGAAGTGAATTGGGGGTTTCCAGGGGATCAGGGAGGGTGATGGAAAGTGACTGCAAATGGATTTAGGCTTGCTTTCTGAGTGATGAAAATGTTCTGAAGTTAGACAAGGTGGTGATTATGCAACCTTGGGAGAATACTAAAAACCACTCAAGTGTGCACTGTGCAAGGGTATCTTTATGGTATGTGAGTCATATCTCAAAGTTTTAAAGGTGGGAAGAATCACTGGTTTGACAGCCTTTTGTGCTTTTAATTTTTTTAAACAACGTGGCAAAGATGTTTGTTTCTTTTTTTTATACAAAATGCTTTTTGTGACAATGGAAAAGTTGTGTAGGATGACCTTACACATAAAAGACCCTGCATAGACATTGAAGCCGAAGCCCGAGTTGATTCCTCCTAATAGACCGACAGTGCGGCCATATGGTGTTGAACGTGATGGGCGTGGCTCAAGTGGTAGCAAGTGCAGACCCTGCCTGAATTTAAATCCTAGTATTGCAATAATAATAATAATAATAATAATAGCACAGAAAAAGTTCAAAAAGTATGACAAGAGCAATAACACATATGCTATAATTTCACTTTTTTCAAAACTTCTTTTTAAATTTTTTTAAAACTTCTTTATATATCCTACCAGATATCTGTGTTAATAGTAGAGCCTCTGTGGAGTAGGAATGGGGTAGAGATAGGTAGTTGCATGCAGGAGAGTGACCTTCTTTTAAAGTAATTGACTATTCAAAACCTTGCCCATATATTACCTTTAAAGATAAAGGCATGTTTTAAATGTATAGTAAAAATGTTAGGAGCCAAGTGTGGTGGCGTACTACTTTAATCCCAGCACTCTGGAGGCTGAAGCAGGAAGATCATAAGTTTAAAGCCAGCCTGGGCGTACATAGTGAGAGCCTATCTGAAAAATAAAAACTAACAGAATTAGATTGGATAATGATATTTCAGGTGATTTTTTTCTTTATGCTTTATGTTTTCCATATTTTCTATTGCTGTCATAAATGACCTTTAAGATATAAAGTAAAAAATCAAGTATGTGGCATGGAGGAGGAAGATGTAAAACTAGAACAGTGGGCTACCAGGACTTTCTCACCAGTGCATTTGGTGTGTGGAGTCCTTCCGGGATGAAGGATCATTTTCTGTGCTCATTGTCTTCATCTAGAAACCCTGATACTCCACTTGTGCATTCCAGGTCACCAAGGTGACGTGTCTCTGAGTTAAAAGGATGGGCCGTTTGTGTGTCACTGAAGTGTCTCACTTGACTTCACATGGCTTTTATTTCAGGATGACCTTCTAGGAATCGAGCCTTTGAGTGAGGATGCCATTATCTCGGGGTTCAGGAATGTAACCATTTGCCCTAACCCAGAAGACACCTGTGACTTTGTCAGGGCTGCCCGCCTTGCATCCACTCCTTTTCATGAGCTGATGCCTTCTGGTCCTGTGAGACGGCTGCAGGACGAGGACCTGGATGCAAAGGCCTGTGAGGACCAGCAGACATGTGGCACCCTCTACAGTCAGACCCTCAGCACCAAGAAGCTAAGGTCAGTGACTGGGGCTCCAGGCTCTCAGACGGCGTGTGTGTCAGTCACAGGGAGCTGTCATCCAGCTGCTGCTGTCTGCCAGGCACTGGATCACTCAGTGCCCCATACGAGAGTACAGCTGCTCCAGACGTGTCAGCAGGATGTGGTGACTGGCTGGATTTGAGGGCTAGAAGAGTCACTTTTGCTGGTTTAAAGACGTGAGATGCCCAGGAGGAGCCTGATACTTTTGAGGAAGTTCAGTTGTGTGTACGTGACTGGGAAAGAAGGAGACATTTAATTTTTTCCTTAATATTGATCTTTAAGTAATGATAGAACCATTTACATTGAGTTCAAATAGTTAGAAATCTAGTAATGAAAAAAATACCTTTTGTGTGTGGCGGGGGACTGAGGTTTTGAACTCAGGACTTTGAGCTTACAAAAAAGGTGCTTGTAAGGGAGGTGCTCTACTGTTTGAGCCACACCTCCAATTCATTTTGCTCTGGTTATTTTGGAGATGAGGTCTCAAGAACTATTTGCCCAGGCTGGCCTTGAACCACAATCATCCTGATCTCAGCCTTTCAAGTATCTAATATCATAGGCATGAGCCCCCCATGCCCAGCAAAAAGTATCTTTTGATAGGTACAAATTAATTAGAAGTAGATAGGAGAGGATGATGTAGAGATCCAGGGACTGAGCCTTGTGATCCATCCATTTTTAAAAAGTCAAGTAACTTAAGCCAGGAGAGGTAGTCCATGCTGTAATCCCCAGAGGTGGGAGGATGTTGAGTGTGAGGTTAGCCTGGGCTACAAGGTGAGACCCTGTTTCACAAAAAAAAAAAAAAAAAATTTTCAGCTAATTTTAGCAAACTAATTTGCCAATCTATGATTTTTGTGTGTGTGTGTGTGGTACTGGGGCTTGAACTCAGGGCCTACACCTTGAGCCACTCCACCAGCCCTTTTATGTGAAGGTTTTTTCTAAGATAGGGTCTCGCAAACTATTTGCCTGTGCTGGCTTTGAACCTCGATCCTCTTGAATGGCTAGGATTACAGATGTGAGCCACCCATGCCTGGTTTAAAATGGCATTTTCAAACTTTTTCCTTAACAAACTTTTAATCCTGTTTGCCAGGATGTGCTCACATGTGAATTGGATTTTCCTTTTCCTTTCTTGACCTTTTCTTCTTGATGACTAAAAAGTCCAAAGAAAGGATGAAGAGTGTTAACGTTAGAATTAGGGTTGGTCAATATTTCTCGTCAGTATAGAATAGATGGAAAACAGGCATTTATTATAAATTAGGTAAATAAACATAAATCCAGAAATGTAATTCTGGGCCTTGCTTTTCAACCAGTGGGGAGGAAGTTACCTAGATCCCGATTATGAATTTATTTCTGATTTCAGAAAATAATGAACTTTAAAATGAGACTAACAATCATAACGAAATTATTTTTAAATAAAATGTGTTAAAAAATTAGGGCCATTGTAGTGGTACATGTCTGTAATCCTATCTACTTGGGAGGTGGAAATCAGAAGGATCATGGTTTGAGACCAGTCCAAGGCAAAAAAAAAAAAAAAAAAAGTTAGGGGGACCCTGCCTCAAAGGTAAGCCAGGGACGGTGGCATGCTCCTGTGGTCCCAACCACGTGGAGGTGGAACAGGAGGATCACGGTCCAAGGAGACCTTACCTGAAAAGGAACTAAAGCAAAAAGGACTGGGGCGTAGCTCAAGTGTATAATGCCTGCCTTGCAAACATCCTGAGTTCAAACTCCGGTTAGTGCCAATAGCTAACTAAATGTATGATAAAACTTGTAAATTAAAAAATGTATAAATTGAACAAAGATAAGTATGTTTTATCCCTATGAGAACTGATTTCATTTGCCGTTGCTTCAGCCCAATTATTGAAGACAGTCGTGAAGCACACTCCTCTGGCTTCTCTGGATCTTCTGTCTCAGCTGCCAGCACTTCCTCCATCAAAAGTCTTCAAATTTCAGAGAAACTGGAGCTTACCAGTGAAAGCACAGGTAGGACTGTGCTGCTTATTGCAAGCACCCAAACCCGTGCCTTGCAAGTGTTTGTCTCAGCAAACTGAGCTGTCTGTTTTTCTTCCCTAGAGAAGTTGCCATAAACTGTGATATTTCCAGAATAAACTGGTATAAACGTCAGATTAGCAGCACTGATTTTGTAAACTCCTCTATTATAACATCCATTTTAAGCATTAGATTTTTTTTACATATCTTTCAACTCTTTTCCTCCTCAGAAAACTCTTTTCCGTCACCCTGGTGTTCACAGTATCGTGCACAACTTCTAAAATCCCTACCAGAGTTCAGTGCTTCTGCAGAGTTTTCTGAGGAAGATAGAGGAGTGCCTAAGTTGGAAATAGAGAAGGAAATTGAATTAGGTAAGTATGACTGAATGCATGTCCTTAAGCACGTGACAGTATTCAAATAAGAGATTATTTGCAGTTGAGCTTAAAGCTTAAGCATTATAGATATTGCTGGGTTATAAGAAACAGCGTTACAGCTGGGTGCTGTTGACTCGCCTGTAATCCTGCTACTTGGGAAGCTGAGATCAGAAGAATGGCAGTTCGAAGCCAGCCGGGGTAAATAGTGAGATCCCCATTTCCAAAATAACCAGACTAAAATGGACTGGAGGTGTGGCTCAAGTGGTAGAGCACCTGCTTTGCAAAAGTGAAACCCTGAGTTCAAACCGCAGTCCCACGAAAAAAAGAAATAGCATTCAGAAATTGACACATTAATAACTTCATTTCTCAATAACAGTAAGAATTTTGTTTGCCCCCTTTCAGGGTGTTTTTTGTTTTGTTTTGTTTTGTTTGGTTTGGTAGTACTGCAGTTTGAACTTAGGGCTTCGTGCTTGCTAGGCAGGTGCTCTACCACTTGAGACACTCTGTCAGTCCCTTCCAGTTTTCAACAAGTGATTTTGAAAGGTATTTTAGATGCTATAAACTGGCAAATATACTAGTGCCTCTTATCCTTAAAGCAGAATGTAAGGATGGATGGTGTATGTGTTGACAGCGGTTTTTAAATGGAGTCAAATCTTCTCAACAGGTAATGAGGATTATTGTATTAAACAAGAGTGCCTGACATGTGAAGACTACAAGTTATTCTGGGTGGCACCAAGAAACTCTTCAGAGTTAACCTTAATAAAGGTGGGACTGATTCTTTGTAATTTCAGTTACCTTTTAAATAGTCTCCTGGGTCCTCACAGAAAAGTCGGTGAGCCACTAAGAAGTCATTCGCCTTAGAGGCCTGGATGAGCTATCAGAAATGTGAGGCTCTTGTTACCTCTCCCAGCAAGTCCAAACACACTCAGCATTCTGTGCATTTTGTCATTTTGAGGAGGTCTGTCATGACATTTCCCGAACTGCTCCAATCTGGATGAGTTGTACTCCAGGCTTGATACATCCAGATATCACTAGCATCCTAAGGAATCACATCACTCTTTTCTTACTGGATCCCCAGTTTCTTGGATCCCACTCTTCCTTCTGTCTTGGCTTAATTTGTCATATTTTGAAGGAGCATGTCCTTCATTAGCTTCCTGAGAAAGGGAAGAGAATAATTATTTTAATCTTGTATGTCTAAAAATTCCTTATTCTGCATCTTTGCTTGATCGATAGTTCAGCTAAGTTAAATTTTTCCCTTAACATTTTGAAGCTCCATTATTCAAAATAGAGCTTGTTTTTGAAGTCTTCTACCATTTTATTCTGTTTTGATTTTTTGAGACAGAGTATTGCTATGTAGCTCAGGCTAACCTTGAACTCATGAACTCCTGCTTCAGCCTCCCAAGGGCTGTGATTACAGCTGTGTACCACCCCACCACACCCAGCTGGTATTCTAGTTCTTTTTTTTTTTTTTTTTTTTTTTGGTGGTTTGAACTCAAGGCCTCTAATACTTCAGCTATTCCCACCCTTACCCCCAGCCTTTTTTCCTTTATTTTTGGAATAGGGTCTTCCCTTTTTCCCAGGCAGGCCTGGACAGCATTCCTCTTATTTATGCTTCCAACATAGCTGAGATGACAGGCATGAGTTACCACACCAAGATGTTGATGCAATGGAGTCTCACTAACTTTTTGCCTGGGCTGATCTGAACCATGATCTTCCCAATCTCTGCTTCTGAATAGTGAGATTACAGGTTTGCACTGCACCCAGTCACTGCCATTTTTGAAGCTTTATGTGAAATAATTTTCCCTCCCTCTGGATCCTTACAGGATCTTATGTTTGTCCCTAGTATTCTGAAATGTAACATTTACATACTTTAGTTATAAGTCTCTTGTCACCTATTCAATAGGCACTTAATGGTCGTTTCAATCTGGAAACTTCTTTAGTTCTGAGAAATGTTCTTCAATGAAATATTATTTCTTCCCCTCAATTTTCTCATTCAGTCATTTACTTTTAGTATATGCGTTCTCCTGCATAAGACCTACAAATCTTACTTTTCTCCTACTTTCTGTCTCTTTTGCTTTACTTTCTGTAGTGTACCTGCCCCTTAGTGTCTGCAGGGGATTGGGCCTGAGGACCCCCCCCAAAACAAAAACCAAAACCTGAGGATGCTCAAGTCCCTTGTAGTAGGATGGCACAGGGTTTGCAAACGGCCCACCACCTCCTCCAGTGCACTTTAAATCACCTCCAGATTACTTGTGATGCTGAAATGCTGTGCCAATAGGCATTTCACTGTGCTGTTTAGGGAATGACAGGAGAAAGTTACAGATCGAATTGATTTCCCCAAATGCTTCCTATCCATGGTTACTTTAGTCCTCCAGTGCAGAACCTGCGGATGCAGCGTCTCACTGTTTTGTCAGCCTTTCAGACTTTTTGCTGGACTTTTGTTTCTTTCGTCTATATTTAATTTATAAGAGCTCATTTACTTTCAGTGTTCCTCGTAGCATTCTGTTCTTCATTTCAAAAATAGCATGTTCTTTATTTCCCTGAGATATTACTGATGCTTTAAAGTGATCTTTCTCAGTCATGTCTCCTCCTATTTATTTTGTCTTTTTAGACTCTGCCTTTCATAGTAGAGACTTTCTTTGAGTCTTTGGGTCTCTATTTGTAGTTAATTGTGGAAAGCTAAAAAGCTAATTGAATGCTCTTTGTGGGGCAGGAATCTTGACAGCTGAGACCTCGATGTAGGATGATGTAGCTGAGGTGTTTGATCAGAAAACCCTCCAATCTTCATATCTTTTCTCTTGAGCTGATCAGATTTCCAAAGAAGACTTCTCATTTCCTGCACAGAGGATAAGACTGGCTGCTGGCCTTTCGAAGGCTGAGTGAGGAAAGGCGTCTGGAGCACCTTGACATAGACTTTTCTGGTTTCCACATTCCCATGCTCCTTAGTGTCCAGTGGCCTCTAGTCCAGAGCCCTTTATTCTCAGGGAATAACCTTCTGGTCTGGAATAGGGGAGAGGCAGTTTCTGGCAGGAGGGGATATCCAGGGCCTAACTTCCTCTAATGTGGTTCAGCATTCCTGTTTTAGTTGTACTGTCAGCCTTACTTCCATAGGGATAGCTAGTGCAACCAGTTATAGTCTATGAGAGGTGGTTTGTGGTGTAAGTATGGTTGCTCTCCAGTTTTCTCTACTGCTAGAACCAGCTTCCCTGGCTCTGAGTGGGCTGTTGTCTCTTACTTTCTGGCTTCCAGAATTTTGGTGCTGTTGTAGATCGATGCTTTTTTTCTTGTTGTTTTGTTGTGTTTTGGTGGCACTGGGGATCAAACTCACGGCCTCATGTAGATTTATGCCTTTTAAATTCCCCTTAACTGTATTCCTGTTGGAGTATCAAGCTGGAAGGAATATATTTTCAATCTGCTGACTGTAACTACATGCTCTAATTGCTCTTATTTTTAAAATATGTCATATAGGTATCACCTCAACCTGTCCCATGGGACTTTTATATCCACCTCAAGTTAAAGGAGCGCTTAAATGAGGAGTCTGGTCAGTTCTGCAGCTGTTATCAGTACCAGGATGGCTGTATTGTTTGGTACCAGTTTATAAACTGCTCCCCACTCCAGGTTTGCAACAATACTAAAGACATACTTAAATTTCTCCAGTAGAGATATTTATGCTCCATTTAGCAAAGAAATTGAGTACAAAATTCCTGTCAGTTGTCTAGTATAATACACCAATGAAATTTTAAGTTAAAAGCAGTGGTCATTTTCTTTTCCAAGGTTATTTTGACCAAGGACTACTGTGATATTTATACACACACACACATATACATACTTTTGTTTTTCAAAAGAGGGAGACAGAATTATACAGTGCACTCCCATGAACTAGTCACCTGGCTAGGATAATCCTTGGCTCATCGCCACTCTTGTTCTAGCCACACTACCTCCCTGGATTGCTATTACTATATATTTTTTTTATAGATATAATGTATCGTTTTATTCTTTGGCATGTTCTTAAGGTTTTACCCCGGGAAGTATTTCAAACCATTTACAGAGTTTTTTGGGCCAGACTCATCCTTGATGCTCATTATCATTAAATTCTTAAGTATCTTTTCTTTTTCCAGTGCAGGGGATTGAACCCAGGGCTTTGCACATGGTAGGCAAGTGCCCTACCACTGGGCTGCATCCCAGCCCTAAATCCTTATGCTTTCTAGGGAGATCAAATTTTTGTTAAAACCGGGATGTAGATCTGCCCTGCATGGTAGTAGAGACAAAGAGGATCAGTACAAAGCAGCAGTTGTTGAGGTACTGACTATAACTACAAGTAGCCCAGCTCGGGAAATCATTTTCTGCCCTTCTACTTCCAGGATCTGCTCCAACATAGTGTGTTTATCACCCATGAAATAACAGTGTTGATTATTTACAACGTTCTGACACTAGTGGAAAAGCTACACAAAGCAGAAATAGTTCATGGAGATTTGAGCCCCAAAAGTCTAATTCTAAGAAACAGGTTGGTCCTTTTCATTTTCCTGTAATTGTCAGCTTCTTAAAACATGGATAATTGCCATTTTTCATGCCTTTTGATAACTGCCATATCTATGGAGACATTATGTTAGAATATTTGCAGGCTGGAGGCATGGGTCAAGTACTAGAGCACATGACTAGCAAGTCCAATAGCCCAGTACTGCCAAAAGAGAGAGAGAGAATATTTGCTACCTAAAAGTCAATAATCACGAAGATAGTTTAAAAGAATTTATGTATTTTATCTATTTATGGCAGTACTGGGGTTTGAACTCAGGGCCTCACACTGCTAGGCAGATGCTGTACCACTTGAGTCACCAAGAATTCTCCAGTGTGTTTCCAAACATACCGTTCTCATTTTCACCCTCCCTCACAGCATAAAAGTTGAAAGGACAGTGCTAGAGCACCGGGCATTTATGGTCTATGTATTCAGATAACCCTTTTCTCAGTCACTAAGGACTCCAGGAAAGCACACAAGGCTAAAGGGCATTGCTACTTAATAAATGTGAGAGGAAATTTCATGTGAATACAAGGAATTATAAGTCAGAAAGAACCTTTTGAAATCACTTAGTTCAGCTTCTACATAATTTTGTGAGAAAGATGAGATCCAGGGCTAGGGTTATATATAGCTCAGTGGTATAGCACTGGCCTAGCATGCAGGAGGTCCTGGGTTCCATCTCCTGTCCTGTCCCCATTACTACCCCCCCCACACACACACACAGGTCGAGAGAGAGCCAAAAAACCTAAAAATTGTGACCATGGCAATGAGTGCCCATAGCCAATTAGCTGCTGGTGAACTTTCATACTTTTTATTAATCTAAGAAACGTTTTTTTCTTACTTCTCCCAAGTTTAGGGGAAAAAGCTAAATAATCATAGGTTTATGTTGACTGGAAATGTATTGGATCTTGGGCAGTTGTAAATTTCAAGGTGAGATCATTTTGCGTTCTGGAAACAGGTGATCAGGTATTTAGCCTGAATTAGGAGTCCAGGACCTGCACCTGTGTCAGGAGTTGAAGGACGTATCTGAGAAAAACAGGGACCAAAGGAGTATGTGACAGTGATCCCCTCTTTTCTCTCAAATAGTTCCAGTGTCTCCCCAGACATAAGACTTTATTATATGAAATATAATTAATAGAAGTTTGTATTATAAAGTATTTTCTTAGGAAATAAGAGCTGGAATTATAAAAAAGATAAAATATGTTAGTTTTATAGAAACAAAATTTTACAACATAGGCAGTACTTTACAAATAAAGCAGCCTTATATTGGTTTTCATTAAACTCTGAAAGAGTCTGGGTCTACAGTTAGCATTATCTTCTATAGTAAACAAGAAAGGCTGTGACTCCTGTACGGGCAGCAACTGGAATTCTGCTTCCAGTACATACTGTGTAATGTGGATACTCAGTAAATGTCTGTGGTGGCCGTGCACTTGGGTTTAGACACACTTGTACCGGTAAGTGACCGTCAGGGAACTGATTACCGTTGCCACTGCTTCTACATGTGCACTTTCACAACTTACCACTAGAGGATGCTGATGGCATAGCTAAGGATATACCTGCAGTACCCTTTTTTTTTTTTTTGAAGACCAGCTATGCAGCTTCTTTCATCACCTATTTTTATTATCTTTCTCTTAAATCTGAGCTCAGAATCCATGATCCCTATGATTATAATAAGAACAGTCAAGCTTTGAAGATAGTGGACTTTTCCTACAGCGTTGACCTTAGGATGCAGCAAGACATTTTTACCCTCACTGGCTTTCGGACTATTCAGATCCTGGAAGGACAAAAGATCCTGGCTAACTGCTCTTCTCCCTACCTGGTAAGTGTTAAAAAGCCTGAGCAATATGGAGAGGGCTTCCTAACCTCTTCCCTACCTAGACAAGCTGTGAAAGCTGTGTTTACTGGTCCTGAGTTTCCTAGAGCAGATGACCTAGTTTTCAAATATTGTGTCACCAAGTCAAGTCATGCGGACCATTTGTAGGATAGACACAGACACGTGCAGACATGTGATGAGCTCCCTCACCTGGTGTCAGGACCATTTGTACCACTCGCCAGCCATGCGATCATTTCTAAGTCATTTTCTAGGATCTTTGCTATAAAATAAGGATACATCAGAATCATGAGGATTCAGTGCAGTAATTAGCTAAAAAGAACAGTAGGAAAAGGGTAAAGCGTTTTATATGATGGCATTCAGTATTTGCTGACTGACTGACTCTGTGGCGTGAAGTTGTCACAAGGACCACGTTGGTTCAGGCAGAATCCATGCATATTCAACAGTCTACAGACATGATTTCATAGTCCAGAGAGTTTGTGGTCTTTTGTTCTTAAGGATAATCCCCAAAGCTGGCTCTGTTGGAAGCTCTTTGGGGAGTTTTTTCTTTTCCTGCAGGGGAAGGCACAGTCTGCTAAAATGTATGTCATTAAATCAACTTAGCTCTGTAATACCTTTCAATTTCCTAGATAAATACGCTCCATGGTAGAAGTAGAGAAATATTTTAGCTCATGGTGCTTTTTGTGATTTCAGGTCGACCTGTTTGGTATAGCAGACTTAGCACATTTACTGTTGTTCAAGGGGCACCTCCAGGTCTTCTGGGATGGGTCCCTCTGGAAACTTAGCCAAAATACTTCTGAGTAAGTATTGAGTAATTTCAGGGTCTTGCCTGTCCAGATAATTTTCTCTGTCTTGGGTATTCCCTCTCCTTTGGTAACATTAGTTTTCTTAAACTAAATGTTATGATTCCAGTAATTTCAGCACATTTGCATTAGAGCATGAGCAGAACACCAGAAAATAAGAGTCACACTGTTGGGATTTCAGGACATTCTGAAATTCACATGTCACACCACTACTGGTGTAGAAGCCTCTCGGTTCAGCGTTAACAGAAACATTTTGGAAGAATAATTTTCTAACCAATTGGTGGTAGTCTTAAGTCCTTTTTAACAGCAAAAGTTAATAAGCATCTCTTGAAAAGAGTTAAGTCTCTAAATTATATACTGATTTCAGGCTACTATTTATTTAATGAGTGGGTAGAGCCAAACCAAAGAACTGAGTCCCCTGGTGAAGAAGTGATCTCCTAATAACCCTCAGAATCCTCATGCTCCCTCTAGCCTGCCCATGGAACTCATTAATGTCTTGCGTTCCACTTTTACCTGTCTTAGCTAATGACTTCTCAGTGTAAGCTTTGGTTTAAAAAACATCAGTGTTTAAGATGTAACACCCCTTCTCCGCTTTCCTCTACAGAATATTGAATTGTATCATTTTTGTTTTCATCTAATTCAGAACCTGGGTGGTCACATTTGTCTCTTACATGTATTTTTAAAGTAGGCTTGAAACCCTAGTGTGAGACGTAGAGGATAACCAGGCATGTCCCGTCTGCTGTGGTCCAGGCAGGGCTGGCTAACAGCACAAACAGGATCAGTTGGGGTTTCATAATAGTCCTACTTCTACAATAATAGAAGTTTTCAGAGAAAAAGAAAATACTAAGACTAACCTCAGTGGCTCATGCCTGTAATCAAGGCCAGCCTGGCCAAAAAGTTACCAAAACCCTGTCCTATTCAATAAAACCAGGTATGCTAGTGCACACTGTGATCCCAGCTATCAGGAGGCTATACTTAGGAGGATTGAGGTCAGAGGCCAGCCTTAAACAAAAGCACAACACCCTACTAGAAAAATAAGGCAAAATTGGGTTGGGGCCATGGCTCAAGTAATAAAGAGTGCCTTCCTAGCAAGCATGAGACCCTGCATTCAGACCCCTGTACCATCAGAAATAAGAAAGAAAATAATAGTAAGCAGAGGTCAAACGTCGAGTCTTTATCAGGGTACTTCAGTCAAGTTTAAGACTCTCAGGACTGTACAGATGGTAACCCACTGAGGCCTCAGAGGAAGAAGGCTTAGGGAGGGAGGCCTCACTGATTTTTATTATTATTATTTTTTAATAACCTAGACTCTAGGAAAGTTAGAAGAAATGAAATCTCTTTTCCTTCTATCTGTAGAGAAAAGGTGCTGTGTCTTGGCATAGGAGGGAATTTGTGAATTCTGATGAGTGTCTTTCCCCTTGTGCACGAGCGTGGCTTTTACCACCACAGTGGCTTCTCTCAAGTCCTCCTGGGCTTGGGGGAGTTTCAAACGCTCCCCAGCCCTGGAGCTCCAGGTATCACCTTAAATCATCTTGGTGCATACATGTACTGCTGAGGCAAACTCTAAAGGAATTCTAATTTTCATTTGCTTAATCTTGATGGAAGTGGTTTTTGTATATTTTTAGGCTAAAAGATGGTGAATTGTGGAATAGATTCTTTGTGCGGATTCTGAATGCCCATGATGAGTGCACAGTGTCTGTGCTAAGGGACCTCGCAGCAGAGATGAGTGGGGTTTTTGATGCCACCTTCCAGAGCCACCTGGACAAAGCCTTATGGAACATAGGGAAGTTGGTTAGTCCCGGGGCGTCGCTCCTTCGGCAGGACAGGCAGGCGGGTCTCTCACAGACTCCTACCTAAGACCCATGGTGTGCTGCAGAACGCATTGTACATGCTGTTACTTAACATGGAGTACACTGAGACTCACTACCAGCACTTTGCTATTTCCACAGCACTGTTGCCTGCCCAGTGGATACTTTGTTGGCATTTAATCCTTTTGTTTCTACTTTTCCCTGTACTTTTCCATTTTGTAATTTGTAACATGTACTCTTATGGTCACTTTATTTTATGAATAATAAAATAGTATTTGTTAAATTGTGCTTCTAACATTTCATCTACTTTTTGCCAACTAAGATAATAAATGGTTTGATTTTTGTGAAGAGTTATTTTAGCATGGAAATTTGTATCTCTTAGATTTGAAACAGTTATGATAAGATTATAACTAGACAAAATAGCTAACCATTTCTTAAGGCGTTTCTGACCTTCCAGATTGAAAAGTGGGTAAAATGATAGACATGGGCCAAATTTCCCTAAATTTCAAGTGGCAATATTGTATTTTCCATATAGGCGTATATTGCAAGGTTTTCAGTTTTACCCACTGACCCTGGACCAATTTATGTGATAACCTCGCAGTGCTGCTGGGTCTGGGTCCTTGCTTAGGAGATGGCTGTTAGAAGGGAAGGGTCTCGGTGGGCTTACAGCCTCTGAGGAGTGGAGCGACTGCCATCCTGTTACCACAGCGAGTCACAGGAGAGGATTCTGTGTAGAATCTGAGGAGGCGGAGGTCAGAGCTGAAGATGATGGGGACCTGGAATAATTGGGAAGAATAAATCTAGATGAAGCATTGGACAGCAGAGGGCAGCCTGGATTGCAGGTGGGACACAGGAGCAAGTGGTAGAAAGTGGTAGCTGGCACGTGTCTAAGGATCAGAATTATCTAATGTTCCTCTGTGCTGGTGCCTGATTTTTTTTTTTTTCCAAACTAGTTGTCACTGTTACTGCTCTGAGATTGCTAGAAAGTAAAATACCCTAAATATGTCTCAACTAAAAATATTTAAGCATACTGTATATCGCTGAAGCGCTGAAATATGACTTGGATCTGAAAGATATCAACTTAGAAATATTTGCTCTTAACCAAAATATGGTTTTTCAGGCATTCACATTTGCTTCTCGTACTGCTGATACAAGGTACCGCATCTGTATCTGTTGTGATGTCAGCCCCTCCGCCTCCTGCTCCCCTGTTTCTCAGGGCACTATTGACACAGATGGGACAGTAGGTTTCAATTCTTAGCCTCAATGTAGCTGACATCGAGTGAACTCACAAGCTTTGACAGCCAAGCTGCTATGTGGACAAAGGCTTGTCTAAAAAATTCCAGGAACAGAGGAGTATCCAAAGAAACGGCTCTTGCCACAGCTTTTGCCACCTCTGCCTCCATGTCCCTTCCTCCAGCCCCAGACCTTCTTTGCAGAGAGGAGAAAATGGCACCTGACCAGTTAGAATTTGTGGTGTGTTAGGTTTCTCTTTGCCTAAGCATAAAACCACAGAATGGGATCCTTCCCATTTCCTTTCTTTTGTTGTTGTTTTGTGGTGGTTTGGGTTGTGTGTGGTTGGTTTCGAGACAGGGTCTCACTATAGCTGGCCTTGAATTCCTGATCATCCAGCCTCCAACTCCCAGGTGCTGGAATTACAGGTGTGCACCACCATGCCCAGCTCTCCCTTGTATTTTATGCTTATCTATCAGGAGAAGGCAGAAGCGTCAAATGGTTTTTATTTCTTGTTTCAGTAGGGCAGATTAATAATATAATGATGGACCTGGAGGATTTTCATTTTTGTTTGGAATGAGACCATGGGATACACAGCACCTCACCATTCACAAAGTACTTGAGCATTTGCTAACCTGTACCACTGTCAGAGTGCTCCAACTGAAGGATAGTCTTTCAGAGGTTATGGTAGCTAAGGCTTTTTGCAATGACAAAGACAGCAAAGAAGTGCCTTTGTGCTGCATCTGAAAATGAGGGACTTTCCCTGTGCCAAAATTTGCCTCCAATCTGGCTCCTAAAATTAGACGCTCAGAGCCAGGCATGGTGGTACACTCCTGTAATCCCAGGCCAGCAAGGCAAAAGCACAAGTCTCTTATCTGAAAAACTAAAAACCAAAAGGACTAAGGGTGTGTCTCAAGTGGTAGAGTGCTTGCCTAGCAAGCATGAGGCCCTGAGTTCAATCCCCAATACCACCCAAAAAAGAGAAAAGATAGTTCTATAGTGAAGAGGTTGCATTTGAAGCTTTTTTGGGGGGAGGGCATGGCTAGGGATCAAAGCCAGAGCCTTCCATAAGCTAGTCAAGTATTGTACTGCTGAGTGACGCCTCAGCCCTCGGCTCAGGCTGGTCTTGAACTTGCAACACATACCTGCTTTTGACTTGGCCAAGCCCCCAGCACTTTTTTAGTTTTCAGACAGGAACTCTGCACTTTTTGCTGGCCTTGGACCATGAGCCTCATTCCTCCACCTCCTGAGTAGTTAGTATTACAGGTATGTGCCTCCACTCCCAACTTAACTTTGTTTTTCTTTTTTTTGGCCTGGGCTGGCCTCAAACTGTAATCTTACTGTAGCTGGGATTAAGGTGTGAGCCACCATGCACAGCCTGCGTCATCCTTCATCTGCATTATCTCAGATTCTCTCGAGGGCTTCTCCCTCCCGCTCCAGTCGTCAGAACCTGTCAATGGTTTCTCGTGTCACATGGCCCCAAAATCCAAAGAATTTATTGTGGCCTATAGAACCCTACCCAATCTGACTCCCACAGCTGCTCCAACATCCTCCCTGACTCCCCTGTCCTTGCTCACTCCACACTGGTCTGTCACCTCCTTGCTGTCCTCGTTTCCCTATCCTTTCCTTTTTACTTGCCATTTCTTCTGCCTGGCACTCTTTCCCACATCTTTGGGTGCAAGCCTCCCTTACTCCCCTTCTGGTGCCCTCAGATTTCTCTGATTGTGCATGCCACTTAGAATCCCACACTCATAGTTACATTCCAGCCTTTTCCCCTCCTTTGTTTCCATAGCATCATCAGCATCCTGTGTGCACACGCACACACACACTTAGGTATGCGTATTTGTCCTGTATCCCATTACTAGAATTTAAACTTCATAAGGATACCCAGTGCCTAGAACGGTGTCTGAATGAATATAACTATTTACCTTAAGCCAGGTGCTCGTGGCTCATGCCTGTAATTCTAGCTATTTGGGAGTCTGAGATTGGGAGGCTCACAGTGTGAGGCCAGCCTGGGCAAATAGTTTGTGAGCCCTCACCTCCAAAATAATCAGAGCAAAATAGACTGGAGGTGTGGTTCAAGTGGGTAGACTACCTGCTTTGCAAGCGTGAAGCTCTGAGTTCAAACTCAGTCCTACAAAACAAAAAAGCCTACTTACCCTAAAGTGCCTAATCTCAAAAAAGTGAAAAACCAATGGGAATAAAGTACATAAACAACCCACTACAGCCTTTTAATGGCTGATATACTTGAGATGCTCACCTTCACTTCTAATTAAAGAAAATGCAAAGTGAATGAAGTTGCCATTCACAGCAAATGGTTGAAATTATGCCTGAGAGAATGAGGAAGAGACAAGCATGCATTGCTAAGTGAGGTGTAAGTACGTTGGTTTTTTTATTAGCAGCCAGCTTGGCAAAATCTGTTAAATTTAAATTTGCCCTTAAGTTAAGAAATTTTTCTAAGAATTTATCTCACAAAACATTGGTACAGGTACACAGGAAACAGCACTCTTTGTAATAATTGTCTTTACTGCTACCAAGACTCACTGGTCCCCAAAGGGATGGTCCCTATGACATCCAGGAGAGTAGGCTGGGGTGAGTCTGCAGGTTTTAGGGCCCCTTGCCACTAGCACCAGCTGCTGCCATGATGGCAGCACCCAAGGTCACAGTCACTTCCAGCTGTGCTTTACAAAACAAAACAAAGTGAGGGGAAGTGATGGCCACAGTGGGCGTGTATGAGGGCAGGGAAGGGGAGGCTGAGGCTTCTCCTTGTCAGTTTGTACTCTTAGGAACATTTTGAATTTTCTAACCCACATACATGTATTGCTTTTTGTTTTTTGATGTCTGTTGGGATAATCTAAGATAAGAAATTAGGGCCATGTTTTTGTCACCTTTTCCCTGTTATAAAAAGTAAATAGTTTTTTAAAAACTAGGGTGCTTGCTTCAGCAACATATACACTAAAACTGGAATGGTAACATGAACTGTTCCATTTTAAGACCCTATCTTGAAAAAACCCATCACAAAAAAGGGCTGGTGAAATGGTGCAAGCTGTAGGCCCTGAGTTCAAGCCCGAGTACCACAGATAAATAAATAAATAAAACTGGGAAATTAATCAAAATAAGTTTGACTTAGAATTAAGAGTTAAAGATAACATCTAAACATGTATTTAGTATGCTAAGAGTTCATTTATGTTCAAATGTGTTATAATATTCTGTTAGAGATGTGCTTTCTAAATTGCTGCCTTTCTATTGCACCTTTGTATGTCTATGAACAGCTGACTAAATTACATAAAATCCAACTTTTTCAAAAACAATGACCTCCATATAAAAACGTGAGTTTTCTGCTTTTTTTTTTTTGGCAGCACTGAGGTTTGAACTCGAGCTCATGCGTGAGTTTTCACAAACTGATTTTGTCTCACTAAGAAAGGAACAAGCAATAGTGGACTTGAGCTGAACTTCTGTGAACATGTATGTTTTTTCCTAATAAGACATACTACTTCCAGTGACCTTGCTCCTCGAGGCTTGGCATGGGACATCGTGGCTATCCAATCAAACTCTTAGTTTTTAAACCCCTTGTGAACTAGGGACTTGTGTCTGTTGATTCTGAATACAGTACTCCCAGAAACTGGCATATTTCTCAACAAATTAAAATACTAGAAAAAACAGGCACAAGTTCTGAAAGAAGTGACAGTATAGTGTTGGTGAGGGGGAAAGGTCTCTCCTAGGCTCTATCTAGGTATGGCGAGAATCACAGTGTACCACTTCATGTATGTTTCTTGAGTTTGTTGTAATTGCTGACTTTACGTTGTGATACACTTCATT